TGCGTAAAAGCTCACCCAAGTGTCTAAATTTGTTCATAAACGCATTTTGAACTAAAGATAACTCTTGGTAATGAAAGACAGCGAGAAAAAAGACGATAAGATATCCAAAGCAGCAGGCCAGTCACACTAACGATCCAGATGAACCTACGAGCTCCCAGGAAGATACATACATGGACACATGAAGAATAACAGAGTGACATGCAGTAATATGATGTGAATGCATAGAGAGAGACTACTGTATCTATCTATCCACTATCTTCTCAAGACAAAATGGTTATTTAATCATGCCAAATGTCTTTTAACAATGCCGATCGATATAAAAGCTGTATGAAGGGGATGTCGGAACACGCCAGCCGACCAAGTAACCTATCATTACATGTGAAACCTTTTTGTTTTTTTGATTAGTTGCATAATCCAGACACATTATGGTCATTATCTGTTTCGTAGGCCCCTTTGGGAATCAGGCAGAAAAATACAATTAAAGGAGGATGTAGGAGCCGTAATGTGTTGTTGTTTTTTTAAACCTGAGTTTCATATTTTTTTTACACTTTTAAACTCCTTATTTCATCTGGGTTGGATCACTCATGATAATGTGCACCTTTGGGTTTCATTTCTTTTAACTGTTCAGTTGTGTGGCAAGAAGAAGACAAAGAGGGTAATGTGGGTTTATGGGCACAAGTATCTTGTGTTTATTTCAAATGTTGATCATCAATGTCGTCATTGTTGTTTTTCAAGTCATTTTTGCTTTTTTTTTTGTAAATGTTAGCACATCGGTGAATGTGAATTCAATCAGAATAAACTTCAGTACCCAGGCTCATTGTAATGAAAGATGTTAAACAGTGCAATTGGGTTGCTTTTTGACGTGTTTTCAATGTTTTTTTTGACAGAGGAAAATAAACTTGCTTTTATGTTCGTGGTTGTTTTTCATCTTTTCACATGATAGGCAAACCATCACAAAAATATAACTTCAGACTTATCCATTAAAACTCAGCCGTCAACCAAGACCAGAAATGGTAGTTGTAGATGGAGTCATGCTGGGTCTGCTGGGAGATAGTGTTTTAGGAGTAGTTGATATCACAGCTGAGATGATATCATTTTTATTGAGAGCACTCATCAACAGTTGTTAACCATTGACTAGGGCTGGTGAGCATGGGCGTTGTAGTGGAAGGGAACGTGGGTCTGACTAACCAGGGGCATGGAGGAAGGGCCCCTGGGCTGTTCTTTTTAAGGCACTACTTAAAAACACAATGTTTTTAATGTCAGGTGAGATGATAATACAATATAATTTTGTGTTGTGCAAATAAGAACTGAGTTGAATTATTTCAGTTTTAAGGTCAAGAGTGGCTGAGTCTGATTAAGTTATATTTATTGTTAGTTATTTATTAATATCGGTAGAATTTGTTATTTAAGAATCAATTAAAAAAACAACCAGATAATAAAAGATGGCCTTAATATTTTTTTTTTTGAAGGGGATTTAAGTCTTGCTTATTATAGTATATGCCAATATATGACTGAATTTATATGTGACACTAAAATCCTGAATGGGCCAAGCTTAGCACTGATGCCTCACAGCAAGCTGGCACTGGGTTTCGGATCCCAGCAGGGGCCTTCCTGTGTGCAGCTAGAATGCTCTTTCTTCTCTCCATCAATTTGTTGTAATAGTACTCCCTTGAACTTTCAAGTAGGAAAAGGTTTAAACCCTTGAAATTAGCCATCTTGTTTTCAAGGGGGTCCCAACAGAAAACACATTGTTAACTTAACAAAAGAAAAAAAACATAAAGACTTGTTTTCAATATAAAGACGGACGCCAAAATTCAACACACTTTTGGAAAACACATTATTAGATGGACATAACAGCCACGAAATGGCCAGTGTGGCCAGTAATATTGAAAGAATCCAGATCAGAAGTAAGTATAAACAGGAACTGTGAAATGTTTGGACTTGCTTTTATGCAGTGCATTTAAATGTCTTTTTAAAAAAAAACTTTAAATCTGACTTTTTTATATATATTATATTGCTTTTATTTCTCTTTTGGTCATCTTTTGTTCAATACATGTTTAAGTTAAGGCTTTTAATGTGTCAAAAAGAATAATGGAGGTGTGATTATAGTAATTGTTTGGGGTTGTCTAGGGTAGTGGTGTAGGGTCACATAGTGATAATCTTTTCATTGGGCCCAGAATTCTTGGTGACACCCCTGCTGGTGAGCCTTGGGCTGTATAGTGTAAACTATGGCGCTCTGCCAGCATCTGACCATTAAGGCTCATTAGTCCCTATTGATAGCCCTGATGATAGGCACTCTGAAAGGAGGCCGCCAAGTAAAAGGTCATCGTATGGATCTTAATTTGACCTCACTAACCCATCACTGATTGGCAGCATCTGTCATCCTTGGTTTTAATTTTAACAGAGATTGAGTGCTGTGGAGAACGTATTGGCAATAACCCCTGCAGTCCATCTCATCGCCCTTGTTCTTTCTGATGAAATCTGGGCCTGTCACCATTTATGGCATAACTGTCTCCTCAGCTTGTTTAAGGTAGGCAGTGAATGAAGTCGGACTGGTGCTACAGCTATACCTGCAGAATGTTGAATCTCTCTATGTATGTTTTAAATTTACACAAAATGTTCATCATGATTGTTTACGCTGTATATTGATCAAATGTGTTTTATCCTTTTTCCTGGGGTGTCTAATTACATTTTTAATTCTGAATTGTCTTGATATATCGAATTGTTGGCCTGATGATGGTGCTAAAAATGATAGAAAATCCACAGCAAGTAGAATTTGTACAACAGACTTTTTTTCTTCTGGGGACCTTGATGAATAAATGAGGCAGCTATGTATTATGAACACAAGAAGGAGTATGGAATTATCTATATCAACCATTTTCAGTCTCTACTTCAGCCTGGGGGCAGAAAGAGGACGTGACGAGGAATGGGTGTGTAAAATAAGTGAAGATGCTTCAAGGAAAAAAATGGATGATTATGTAATAGAGGGGCTTGTTTATGTGTCCCCTCTGAGTTCATGTTAGCTGAGGGAAGACACCCCGCCTTTGCCGCTCTTCTTGGGCTACGCCACATTGCATTAACGTCATCTTTTATAGCGACTGATAATTGGCCTAGTTTGAGGCATGTGTTTCTCTCTGATGTAGGTTTGTACAGTAAGTAAGGGCGTGGGTCTCTCTCCTTTACAAGACCATTCGATTCAATTCTCTACAGCTGAGATCTGATTTAGGGGAGATTTGTTAAAATACAGAAGGATTCTGTGTGATTTGATTATGTGCCCTTTGGTACGATAAATCCAAATTGGTAACAGAATCCAAAATCAATTTGTAACTTTATGGACGTGAGAATAACATTTTGGCAGTGTGTCATTTCAAAATAATATGTCCTTTATTACTTTTCAAAGAGACAAGGGAATAGGCCTCCTGCAAACAAATATTCTGACATTATGTATATAATGTCTATCACACACACAGGTCCAGGTATCTCACTTTGAGAGGTATGCTAGTTGGGGTAAGAATAAATCTTAGCTCTTATATTATTGGTACCCTCTTGGGAAATTGCTGTATTTGGATTCTTGTAACTAGCCTCAAAGGTTTTAACCATGTCACGACAGCCGCCGTTCCAAACAACTCAATTAGAGTCGTAAAGTTTAGTCATTATCAGATTATACGCTGTGACTTTGCCGAATCTTGGCAGAAGAAAGTGTTAAATATTGGGTCTGCTTAAGCCTCTGCTTGCTAATGTTAGCATAGCACTGGTTTCTCTTAACCATCTCAACATGTGAGATTGTCATTCTGTCATTGTATTTAATCACTTTTCTGCATAGTGTAAAGACGGGCAGATTTATGGAACGGCTCTCTACCTCCATATCAGTCTATGTGACTTAATCTGTGAGTTGGACAACTGTAAATAGCTGCAGCGGTCTTGGAGGTTGTTGTTTTCTTCTTGTGAGCTAACTAAGTGGTGAAAGGTCAAGCTTAAAGTCTTGCGTGATCAAAGACATTAAACGTAGTATGCAGGAACCGGGGCCAACAACAAGGTTTTTGTAATGCGTTTTCCAAGCCTCCCTGGACTAATCTTAATCGCTGGGATTAGTTACCAATTCAGATTGTTTTATCTTTAACCCATTAATAGTAAGAAATGTTTTAGAAATTGATGTTTTTTTATTACACTTAACTGGGAAAGCCAAATACCAAATACCAAGTAAGAAGTTTTTCATGCATACATGTTTACTGAACATGACTTTTTATTTTCAATAGTAGACCTAAGGCTTGTTTACTCTGAAATTTTGTGTCAAGAATTTTCAGTTCCATTATTGCTTGGCTTTATAAATTCTACATCATGCTATATTAATATGTTTCACAACCAATGACACTACACCCACTGCCAGTTAACTTACAAGCTAATAAACAACTAAAACAAAGCTGTTGGCTGCACCTTTGACTTCGAGAGGTCTACCCATTTTGACGCACAAAAGACATCATCAAATTTTTCATTTCATCTGAGATCGAAAACGCAGAATCAAATATGAATGACCAAATCTCTCTATGGTTCTAGCCAGCCATCTTTACATTTTCTTGTGGCAAAACCCTAGTTAATTAATTGTGCTATTGTTTCAATAAAAGTATACGAGTTAGAGAAAATGGCTGTTTGGTGTCAGGCTGTCCTTCCTCTTTTGGCTGTGTACACATACCGCCACTTTCACCTGGATTTGAACATACCTCCTACCTCATAACTCCATTCCTCCTCCTACAAATCTTCAACACATCTCCACTTAGTCTCCTGTACCTAATATCTAGTATGGGCTGCATTGATTAATAAAGCCAACTGCGGGGTAGCACACAGAAAGGTGGGAAGTGCAAGGCTAAGAACGTGTAAAATGTGTCCCATGTGTTGGACAAAAAGGTTTTATTAAATGGCTTAGGCTTCAATTACTCTGAAAAGGTGATGCAGAAGAAAAGGTATTGAACCATCCCTATAATGCTGTACCAAAGTCATCTTCTTCTTTTTTGCAACATCCTTAGAATTGCATTATGAGCAACATATTTAAATGTGTTCATAGGAGCTCAAGTATACTCTCCCACATCCTGGTTATTCGCAAGCATATCAAGATTTGATTTTCCAAGTTGCACGCACCTTGCAGAAAACACAGTTAAGCTGACTCTGACATGTGTGAAATTCAATTACAGACCTGCTGTAGATGCACTCTGTGTAACCCAGGGAGATTGGAGGAAGCGGTAGCCAGGTGGTGACCCTGTAGGCAGCAGTGAGCACAAATCACAATGGCCTGGGCTGCTGCCAAGAGCCAGGATTCTGCCATGGTATGGCCCACCAACACTCAGAGGTTTTCTCATGATCACTCATCACAGACACTCTCCATGCGTCTCTCCCTCAGTGCATTCAGGTCAGTAGAAAAGGAATGCAATACACATTGTTGGCCACTTCGCTCTATAATTCATGTCCTGCACCAAAAATAGAGTACTCAACGCACTGTATCATCTGTGGCTGCAAAAAATAGAAGCATGTATGTGAAGTAAAAAGCTGCATTTCTTTTTCCAGATAGAAGGGGATTACATCAACACAATAGGAATTTAAGTTGATAGGTGTTTTGGGGGTTTCATATATCCTAAACACTATTTGTTAAGGATATCAAATGTGTTTCTGTTTCGCCATGTAAGTTAAATCAGACAGTCTGGTAAATCTGTGTGGTTAGCTGCTGATGTGAAAACTGTAAATTAGTCTTTCTGGTCAGTGAAGGCTTACCTACGCAGTCATGTCATCTACATGTTCTCAAGCCCAGACTTCCTGCATGTAACCAAGACTCAGTGGTCCAGGGCAACATTTCTACACATGGGTTGAAAGCGTTTATACAAATGACAGATTGACATTTCTATTAACAAGACAAAAAACTGTTAATTTGTCAGAAAATTCCAATTGCTTAACACTAACCACATGTACAGTAATTTGAAGGTTGGATACTGTGTACCACTGCCAGTAGTATCCATGTACTGGCAGTACATCATGTAGCCAGTGTCTGGTGGGTCCAGTTTCTCCCACTCCCCCACTCATGAGCTTTGAATGGCAGGCTGGCTAACCAATCATGACATGGGAGAATCAGCCATGAGTTGAGAGGGAGCAGCCGTGGGAGCAAAGCCCTCAAGCCACATTGGAGACTGTCAGCAAGACATGTCAGCGTCCGTTCCAGCTCAGCAAGGCCTGATGAGCATGTAAACAAACACAAACTTTGTACAAATATTTAAAATCATTTCAGTGTAATTAAAAAATATCTTTATGTCAATTAGTTAAAAACCAGTGCTTTGAAGATTACTTAATACATTAACAATGAATTGTAAAATGTTTTGGCTGGGCAGTTTGTGATATACATTCCCTCTGTCATCACCTCATCATGTCTTAAGCTGTTGTTTATCCCACTATGACACATGCATCATCTTTGAAATTCTCTGGTCTCTCCTTAAGTATGATCTCTGATCTTCCAGGAAAGGAGCTGCAGCACATCAAGAAAAAAAAGATAAATTTCTTTGAAAAACGACTTCCAATTGTAATACAAATTCTGCATCAGCATCATTCTTCATTAATTTTGCCCCCATGCCACTGGCTCGAGGATCTTCCAGTATGCACTGGGAGATTAAGCATACAAAACAGATTTCAAATACATTCCAGAACTTCAAATTTATTTCTGCCAGAGAATTTCTTGTTATGGTACTCTATCATTCATGTAGATCTTTTAATTTTCTTTCGACCAAAAGAACACATGGTGATTACTTGCAAACAGTATGAATGTGACTCCATGCTGTTACTACAATGGAGGGATTAGTGCAGCTGATGCTGCAGAATCTGTAAAACATGTGCACTGGGAAGAATATGTCAGTTGCCCTCTTTGAAGAGGTTGTGTAGTCTCTGACAACTCTGCTTGTTGTCTCCATATTACTGCATTGCAGATCTCCCCCCCCCGGTCTCCCAACTTCTTCATTTAATTCCTCCCCACAGATAATCCAGATTGTTTAACACAACATCATACATTAAAAGGATTTGAAATGTCTGTTTGTATCTTTGCTCACTCACTTTAAATCAAATAGGCTGTGACTGCAACAACAGCCAACTTGTTTGTTGCTACATGACAATGAGCATGAGGAAGCCTGGATCAAATCCAGAAAGCTGTTCCTAAAAAAGGAAGGAGTAATTAGTAAATGTCATTTCAGAAGAGTATGGCGAATTAGAAGCCTGGTGGATCATGTAATTAGGACGGGAGCCTTTTCATCGGCGGCTCAGAAAAGGAAGAGGACACGGCGGCAGCATCCTCTGCTGACAGCACTATGAGCTGTAACAGAAAACACCATTTGACACACACACACATTGGACAAAAATACACTAGTGCACACATGCAGACACAGATCACAATGTCAACCCAGGCTGACAGTGATGCATTACTGTTGTAGTTTTTTCTCTCTTGTATAAAACTGAACCGATGCAATGGTCGCTCATGTTAAATACAAGATGTGGATTAGCATGAGCCATTTGGAAACATTTGGTTATTCAATGAAATTCGGTTTATGTTATTGTTGTCATTATGTTACAATTTGACTTACATAAAGGCCCTTTTTTTTGTTTAATCCATGTGCGACTTCTTCATGTTTGAATCAGATATAAAAACATATGGCCTACATTTAGAATAAACTCAAAAAAAACATTTTTAAAGGTTTTTATTTTAAAATCAAATGTGGTTCTCCATATTGACCTCTTTGTGGGTCAAACTCGGCGGGATGATCAACTAGTCAAACAACAGAAAACCTATTTTGGAAATGAATTCCCCATTTCAGTCATTTAGCAAGTAAAATGACTTATGGTTCCAAATATAGAAATAAAGTCTGATCATACCTTCAAAAAATTGTCAATTAGTTCATGGGAAAATGGTGACAGCTTAATCGATTATGGAAAAAGAGAAAATTAAGAAAATGAACATGTAATCTAAACATCACTCTCAGACAGATAGCTTTACATTTGCTGCTCTTGAAAGAGAAGGAAGGCTGAACAGAAATCCCCACATAAGGGTGAACAGCCCTGTTTTGTTGCACCTAAACAGTGCTATCAGCTTCTCACATGTGTCAACGCAAATCTATTCAAACTAGGCATCATAAATAGCTGCTGTTTAACCAGATAAACACAAAACAGGAATTATTTCTGTCTTACCAGAACAACATTTGTTTAATATTTGGTAAATATCTAACTAGTGAGTGACTAATGGAAAAAAACAAAGGATTGTTGGGGAAGATGCTTGCAAAGCTCGCAAGGGATTTATGGCAGAATAGATCAGAGAGAGCACAGATCCCAATACAGATGGAGTAATAAATAAATCTCCTCTCTGAGAAGTAGCCGGAGGACTGACAGCATCAGATTAGAGCCTGTGCCTTTTAAACAAATTGGGTACTCAAAAAAGACATATTGGTCGTGTGCTGGAGAATGTTTTATAGAGGAGCTCTGTAACCACCAAGACCCCCAAATCCATCAGATCCCACATAACATCATGGACAGGATCAAATAAGCTCCCAATGCAAAATCTTAAGTTAAAAAATGTGTTAAGGTAAATGAAATTTACAGAAACAAACAGAAAAACCAAGTGACAAAATCATATTTATCAAGTTTTACTAATTCTGGATCACTGGCCTACGCAGTGCTTTACTACTTCACTTTGCCATCCACACGCATGTCAAGTATATTATGTCTACAAAGTCGCAGGCATCACCTGGGATAATGTACGGTTTATGTATAGGAACCAGCGCCAACACAAAAGATGTCCCTGCATGATCTGCTCCTAACCCAGGTTCAAATTGACAGTAAGATTTGGGTTCCTAGCCATAATAGTTTGGACAACTGACCTATGTTCCTTATGGGCCATTTCCATAGCTGCAGGCTTCCCAGGCAAGAAAGCAAGATGAGCATATCTGCTGTACATGTAAATACATTTTCAGAAATGTATTTAGGCTTAATAAGTCCGGTATACTGGGCGATTTCCACCTTCTTTTTTATAAGATCAACAATTAATTGGGAAGACCTGTCTTTGGGAAGCACCGTTCTCCAGGAGGTTGGCTACTTCTTACCCGAGTGCGATATAGCCTTTGCTCTATTGTTGAATAAAGTCAGTCTCATCTATAAAATGTGCGCCAGCATCCGAAATGAAGATTGCACCCTTGGGGAAAGTGTGGTAGTGACCAAAATGTCTAGTACAGCTTCCCAAAAGCTGTGGTTCTTCAGAGAGAAGCGTCTAATAACGACCAGCACTGAGCCATCAGTTACAGGCATCTGCATGTTTTTCAGTTTTCTTTATAACCAGCCTTAAACCCCCCAAAGGAGCTATAACATCATAAATGTTTAGTTTAGATGATGTATTTCCTGTCAGTACCATTCCTCTCAGAAACTCCAAATTTTTGTATTTACAACTTTGTGCTTCTCTGTCACATTAATCCAACTGATAGAGAGCTTACAATGTTACTCTCCTGAGTCTTAAGGTGAACTCTTTAAATGTAGCAGCAGCCACTTACAACAATGGTTAAACTGCATGTTAACTATCACATTCATACTGCAACTTATATTATCTTTAAGCATACTATTATGTATAAAACATTTTTTTGAAATTGCCTCTTTAGGATGTTATAGGAGGAAAGGGGCACCGAGTGTTTCTACTAAAATACATAATGGCTGCTGCTTTGGTTCTTGATTTCATACATTTCATAACAGTGTCTGAAAAGAAAAACAACATTTTAAACTCTACATTTATCTGAGTTCATGGTGGGTGAATGCCTAGTAGGAAGCTCTTAAATTGCTAGGAAGTGGACCTAAGAAAAATATATGCGTTTGAGTACTTGCTTTGCCATGAAAAAGGTGCATAATGGTTTCATAGCAAGACTGGAGCCACCTGGGGCCACAATTCAACCCTTTAAATGGTAAGTGACAATTTGGAAGAAACACAAAGCATGAGCAGATACTTCCCAAAAGAATATGGAGTAATAAACATTTATTGACCAGCTTGCTTAATCGCTGATTTCTATAGACGTGTTATTTTCTGTCATGCTCTCGTGAATGTCGCTCATTCACTTCTCTCCTTGCGTCACTTCTTCTCACCACTACAGGAGGATTGGAGAGGAAACTCAACTTATGCGGCATCTTGTAGAAACGTCTCTGTCCAAGGTCCTGAAATCTGCTTTCACAAGCATGCGTCATGTGACTTCACCCAGCACTGCCTAGCTCAGCACCGAGCCTGCTGGTTTCTGGAGATTTCATGTGAGAAAGGGGCAAGCGCCAAACAACGTCCCCTCTCTCTTTTTGGCGTTGTTTAGAGTGTTTCCTTTTTTTTTTTATCGCCTCCTTTCTTAACTCTTGTTGGTTTTTTTTTTTTACGCACGATCGAATGATGTGGACCCTAAAAGCGTACGACAGAGTGAGTATGACAAAAGATTTTAGGATGCTGGACTTGTGCTGCTCGTTTTGTTGCTCTCTTTTTACCTAAATGCCAACACGGTGAATGCGTCGGACAGAGTGGACGAGCCTGCAGCCAGTGGTCCGCATTCAGAACATCTCGTCTTTCTTGCTTTGATATTTCTCAGGAGCGACTGCAAAAAAAAAAGAAAAGAAAAAAAGGATGTAACAAGCGATCCACCTTGCGCAGCTGAAGTCTCCTCATCAAAATGCAGAAGGGAATACGACTTAATGATGGTCATGTCACCTACCTGGGGCTTTTGGCAAAAAAGGATGGTACAAGACGAGGATGCTTAAGCAAAAAGAGCTCAGACAACACAAAATGGCACACAAAGTGGTTCGCTTTGTTACAGAATATGCTCTTTTATTTTGAGAACGAGTCCAGCTCTCGGCCCGCGGGATTATACCTGTTGGAAGGATGCATATGCGACAGGGCGCCTTCACCCAAACCTTCACTGTCAGCCAAGGAGTGTTTGGAAAAGCAGGTATGGAGCACACACACGCACGCACACACACACACGCACACACGCGCGCTCTCTCACTCAACGCTTTATTGTTTTTCAGGCTTCATGTTCAAATATTGACTGGGGGGGGGGGGGGGGGGTGCGCTGAATTGCACAATTTAACTCTATTTCAGTCCAGAGTAAAGCCTTTTGTTGCGCATATATTCTCATTGTATCCAATCGCATGATGACCTCAAATCCAGCACAAGCAGAATAGCACGAGGTTCCAGATTGCTGTATTGCAAGTTATGTAATCCATGCATGGCATTAATGATGAGGTAACAATATTAACACCTCATGGTATTTCAGCAGCCCTGGTAATGAGCCTTGCAGTGTTTTCATGCGGGTTGCAGCAAACCCGTGCTTGATCCCTTTCTTTCCTTCCCTCTGTTTTTTGATGAGATTAGTTGCGCATGGAATGTTAATAGTTTCTGGTTTATATCATGGGGACGCATTAAGAGTCTTGTGAGTTATTGTTTTTGTTTTTTTTTGCTTTTGACTTTCGGTTAGCTTCTTCAATGATTTTTTATTGACGTTTTAGGGCGGTGAGTGATATACCTAATGCTGCTTCCCATAAAACATGACAAAAAAAGTTGTTGCCTCAGGGTTTCCATCTTGTGGCTCAATGATAGTATGACGGCTTAAGCTCGAGAAACAGCAGGGTGCCAGTGATCAGTCAGCTCTGATCCAGATGAATAGAACAATACGATTCAGTCGAATTGATTTTTCTTTTGAATTAGTCACTTGTCCTTTGTTGAGGATACTCTATCACACACTATTACACATAAAAGTACTCGTGGAAGGATTTGTACATTTAAATCTGCATAAGATGTATTTATTCCTTATAAAAAGATCTCCACTTACTGCTTCTTAAACAAGCAAAACGTGGAAATGAGAAAGACAAAGGTGGATACGTTTGTTATTTTGGATGTTATGATAAACAGTATAATACCTCACTGCCATCAGCCCTCCTCTCCTCTCTCCAGGCTCAGTGCCTGACTCTGTAGGTAGGGCTTCAATCCAAAGTGGGTCCAGGCTCTTCCTGTGAACAGCTGCCTTTGTGCTGACAAGGCATAATGCAACATACTGGCTAATGTTTTTGCCCACACAGTTGCTTTAAAAGCACACAAAAAAAACAACCCTCCCTCAAAGAATCTAAAAAAAAATGTTTCTCTTCTGTCAGCAATGCTGTTTCCTTTGCATGGTGCTTTTTCCTGATACACATATATGAGCATGCTGAGAATAGCATGAAAACAGATCTCTGCCATCTTTGAATGGATTCCTGACAAACTACAGGAAAGATTTATGTTTCTCTTGGTTTTCCTGAATCGCATTTGTAGAGAGTGAAAACACTGAGGTCTGCACAAAGTATGAACAACTGATGTGAGTGACATGATGGTCTGCTGAAACCTCCGAATGTAAACAAACACCCTTAGCAAGGACACATATATCCTCTATCTCCCATCCCCACCTGTATTCATGTTTATGTGGCGATGTTTTCCCAATCCACCATAATCCCTACATTATATTTATCGCCAAATGCACTTAGTGTGAAAATGATTATGCGTTTGAGCCTGTGGTTTCTATGGCAACCCTTATTTGCATCCTTAAGAATGATGCAGTTAAAAGAGAGGAGGTAACAGAGAGGAGAAAAAGTACTTTGTTGCACCTCTTCTGTTAGTGCGAGCGCTTTCTGGGTTAAATTCTTTTTGTCGCAGCGTCTCGGAGGGGTCAGAGTCCGTTTATAGAAAACAATACTGGCTCACACTGGGGGGAAAAACAGCCCTCAACCAATGAAACAGGAAGCTACCAAAGCAAGAGCATGCTTCATTTGGCATGGAGTTAGTAGTAAATCAAAAGATCAGGCTAATAAATTATGATCCATTTTTTTTAAACGTGGCTGATAAAGCTAAAGCTTCTGGTCAAAATCAAAGTGAATGCATGTATCATGATTACAGCAGTTCTCCTGGGAATATATCACTGAATAGATCTCATTATATGATTCAGGAAAGTCCTTTTACAGTACTGCTGCAACAAAACAGACCTGCTTTTCATTGGGCAGTAATTACATACGACATACTCTAATCATGTATAGCTTACAGTTAATCAAAATTCACTAACATTTATTTAGCAGTCACTCATTTCTGCAGGACAGCCGATATGACAGAACAAGTGTGTTTCACCGATTAAAGAGCAAGTACTCGTGTATGTTTATGTTTCATCTGTACTGTATCAATGTGGCATTACTGTTAAGGTCTGTGATGATTTTAAAGGCGAGCCAGCCATGAATATAAAGCAGGAAGCAGACAGTGTGCTTACCATGTCCTGAGCTATTTTAGAAATAAGTCCGGCTTTGCTCTCGATGCCAAGAAAAAGCTTGTGGCAGCTACATTTCTGTCTGTGATTGATTCACAAGCAGCACCTACAACCATCAAGCCTCTTGGTGATGATTTACAATAGAGCCATTTAAATCTTAGACAGGAAGCCGATGAGGTCGCATCATTGTCATGTTAAAAAAAAAAAAAAGTTAAATATGTTAAGTTTTGATAATTTTATTACATTTTCAACGCTTAAACTCATCCGTAAATCTTTAAATCATCAGGTTCCTCGGGGGCTCAGAGACCTCGTGGTTCCATGTAGATAGTCAGGCTCTATAACACGTGGAGCACCTAATGGAGACTGTAAGGTTCCTTTTCGTAAATCTTCACTCGGACAAACAGCCTTTTTTTGTTCAGGGGATCGATATGTGGATGTTTTACCTGCAGAGCTCAAACTGGAACCAGACTGAAACTGATTTTTCTTTATAGAGGACTTAGACTTGTGGTCATGTATGATCTTGGTCTTCCTGTTTTATATTGTGTTTGTTTATGATAGTTTCATTGTTTGTGTCCTGTCCTCGTTTGGTTCTGTTTTTGTGTGTCTGTTGTTGAATTTTATGTATTTTAAAGGCTCATAGGGACTGGCATTGCAAATTAGCTTAGGCTATAAATGCTGAAGCGTGTGGCATCAGTTGATTTTTTCCATACATGTCCCTATACAAATAAACATGAAGTGAATGTGCATGCACCCTTTGCATCGCCCTCACCGCTGTATTTTTTATGTTTTGTTGGGTTCGACATCATTCACAATTTGTAGACAAAATTCCTGTTGTATTTTTATCTGAAGAGATACTGAGAAAATGTTCAGATTATCTCTGTAACCTGTTTTATTTCAGTCTTACTGGTTACCAGTTGCAATTCTCAGGTTGAAAGTACCTAGAGGGCTGACAGATTTTAGGAAATCTGCCTTTTCTTATAATACACAATGTGCATGGAGTAATCTTCAAAAAGAGAGAATTACTGATATCAAATTTTAAGAAGGTGGTGTTGACAGAGCTGTGTGGTTGTTTTTAATGAAAGGCCACTTGTGTATTTAAAACCTTTGTTTCAATGGGACTTCCTGGTTAAATAAAGGTTTAAAAAAAAAAAAAAAAAAAAGCTCAGACACTCAGAACTCTCCCAGAGATCATGAGGGAAAACTACAACATCATGCATACCTCTCTGCCAGAAATAGATTTTCTTTGACGGTAGGATGAATACCTAATGAATGCGAAGATAGAAGAGCAGTCAGCCATGAATAACGATCAGTCTCAGGTTGATAGGCGCCTGTTGAACATCTGCAGGCCAAAGATTAGACTCTTGTGTCCCTGAACATGGCCAGACAACAGAAAAGATGACATTTCTCTTCTGGTAGTTTCTGATCTTTCTTTTGTTTTAACTGGAAATATATGCTAAATTTAGCTCTCACAAAAAAATGCCTTGTAACAATACAAAAATTAAGTTGTAACATCTTAAAGCAAACTGAAAGCAGCTTGTATTGCCTTTGACAATGTGGTTTGTGCATGTGTGTACCTATGAGGGTATTATTTTCATTCTTATATAATGTTTTAACGGGTATTTGGACACTTTCTCTTGAGTTCCAACATACTTACTTTCTTTGCAAACAGACAAACATATTTTATATAAACAAAATATTGGCTTATTACATTTATCAAAATATTTCCACCAGTGAGTGAGTAATGGTTTTGTATTCAGAATGTGGTTCAAATAAAAGGATTCATATCCTGAATTTACAATTTAAGTAAAATGCCACTTTTTAAGGGGGAACACAAAATAAATTATATTTAAAACAGGAAATGTGATCCAATTAATGGTCAATGCTTAATCCATGAAGAGTTCTAAATAGTAATAATAATAAAAAATAATAATTGTAATAATAGAGATTCAGTTGAAAAGAGACGGGTGTCACAGTTGCAGTTATGTAATTGGCTATAGCTGCAGCCAGCTATGTCTCATGGCATTTACCTTCTGGGAACCAGAGACATCCCAGGAACTGGGGGAGGCTTCCCTCAGTGTGCTCCATCAAATGCAGTAGTGGGCGAGGACGATGTGGCTTCCCCAGGCCCTGTGTGGTTTTAAATCACCTGCTTGATGTCTGCAGCAGCGAGGTAGAGGAAAAACACAAAGACAGAAGCAGAAGCCTCAGTTAAGACACGATACAACAGATTGATCCAGAGGCTATGTAATAATGAATGGTCCTTTCTTTGTCAGGTTAATTACAGTCTTGTTGTTTCTAATTAGAACTTCCCTCAACCCCCCTCCCCTCCCCAACCTCCCCAATTTGTTTCAGTACTATTTCACTGTCAGCTTCACCCAGGAAAACCAAAAGGCGCTGGAGTTACGCACCGAAGACGTAAAGGAATGCGATGAATGGGTGGCTGCAATATCACATGCCAGGTAAAGGCACACATCAGTGAAATACGCAGACATGGCCAATCAAAGTTAGAATAGTCGTTAGAGGGTAAGTAATCCGTCAGTCTGTTGGGGATGTTGCCACGCTTTCACAAGTGTTGTTAAAATATAAGAAACGACAGAGAGAATAATAATAATAATAATAATAAAGGATTTTTTCTGAGAAACCAGATTGCTTTGATATTGGTTGAAACTATATGTACTGTTGTCATTCTCATTACTAAAGCTACACAACTATGTTTGTGTGTGTGTGTGCTTGTGTGTGTGCATATGTTACAGTTTCAGAAACTTGGCCACGGAGCATGAGACCCTCATGCAGAAGTATCTTCATCTGCTTCAGATTGTGGAGACGGAGAAAACAGTTGCTAAGCAACTTCGACAACAGATAGAAGATGGGGAAATAGAAATTGAAAGGCTTAAGTCAGAGGTAATATTCCCTGTGATGCCTATACACCGAGGCGTAGAGATGTAAACAAGTATGAATACATTATTCCGATATGACCATGATAACGCGCTCTGTACAGATACCAGCGGAGTCTAAATATTTGCAGGCATACACTCTCCGCCCATCTCTTGTCAATTAGCCACACATCTCGCACCTTTGTTCTCAGACTCAAACCTCACTCAGACTTAATCTCATTGCTCTACAATCAGCTGGATTCACACTTAAGAGAGATGTCAGGATCTCCGATTTAAGGACAAGCAGAATGTTTTTCATGTTCCCAATTGTAGACTATACTATAGACCAAAAACACAAAGAGAGATAGAAGTTAGAAGGAAGGAAGTTTAACCTTCAGACAGAAAGGTTCATCGTCAATAACTTTTGAATAATAATCTCCAGATATGTACAGATCAGAACAAGGCTTTACAAATGTTCCACCGGTCTTAGTTTCTGCATGATCTGATTGAATTCTGAGTGGACTGCACAGCAGAGAAGAAAAATGTGTAACTGAAGTCGTCCTTTATTAAAGTTCATGTAAACTGACCGAGAGGCTTTCATATGTTTGTCACTAGCTTTCTCGTTTATTTTTCCACAAACTTTTTAAGTCAACGTCATTTTAATCTGGGCCTGGATAGGACCTACTGCTCTATACAAAGGCCAATTTGTTTTTGAGGAATTAAAAGATAAGCTTTCTTTTTTTAGGGACTCAGTAGAGGAAAATAAACTCTTTTGTATTATTATTATTTTTGGGTAAAAAAAAATGTAATTTTGTGTGTAAAGTGTACAACTTCTGCACAAAGGAGCTATCAGTGGATACAAATATCTAAGAATACATTTCATGCATACAATAAATAAATACATATATTAACCCTGACTCAGCGCTTAATCAGCCGGATTTCTGGGCAGAGATTACTTTTGTACCACAATAACCAAGAATCACTGGATTCTTGCATAGTATCTATTCTTTTCTGTGTCCTTATTATTGTTATGCTTCTTCTATATGTAAGTAATGGAATGGAAATGAAAGCACTGCTCTGTCACAAAGAGAGAGAGATGTATTCATCCTGACCACTTTCACTTTCCACTTCGTGCGTCTTCTGAGAAACAATGCCTCAACAGGATTGTATTCTCAAGATCAAATAGCCGTTTTACTTTAATGTGCAAGTGTGATGCTTGAAATCAAATTATGTGCTGAATATGCATGAACACAGCTATAAATGCAATAACGATTAACTCTCTGGCCGTCTACAGAGTAAATGGAGACACTTAGCTTCAAACAGTTCAGGGCAGCTCCAGTCTATTATTGGCTGTTTACCTTGTTGCCTGTCTGCTACATATTGCATTTAAATGACCAATATAAATACATATTGATGCAGAGATAGCAGCCAAGTGAGCACAGTCAGTTTAGTCAGGCTAATGTCTCAGTGTTGACAGTGCTGACAGGTTCTGTCCTGTTTACTCATTCACTTTGTTTACATACTGGTGCAGTAAGTGAGAAGGAGACAAGCGTGGAAGTGGCAACGATTGCTCTTTTTTTTCTGGATGCTTCCCGGCAGATTGGTGGCCTACTCAAAGACAACGAGAAGATCCATGCAAGTCCTGCAGCTGCCCCGACCGATGACGACTCTGAAATTAAGAAAATCAAAAAAGTAAAAGAAATGATAAACGTTTGTAAGTATATTTTCAGAGTGTATTCTGAAGAGAAACTGATGAGAGTTTTTTTTTTTTAAATCCCAGGTCCAGAGCTTCCTGCGAGGCTGGATCTGCCGGAGGAAGTGGAAGACAATTATCCAGGATTACATCCGCTCGCCACACGCAGAGAGCATGAGGAAGCGGAACCAGGTGGTATTCAGCATGTTGGACTCTGAGGCCGAGTATGTGCAGCAGCTTCATATACTGGTGAACAACTTCCTGAGGCCACTACGCATGGCAGCCAGCTCCAAGAAACCACCCATCACCCACGATGATGTCAGCAGCATATTCCTCAACAGGTTGGATACTACTCACAGAACACTTCCATACATTGCCTTAACCAATGTATTCATCTTAAAGAGAGCATGTGTGTGTGTTTCTTTTATTTTTATAATTAGTAGCACGATGGAGTAGTGTTATTGTGGGTGATACCTCGATTGGTTTATATGCCATGCAGCTGTGACTCAGTTGGTAGAGTAGTCGTCTCTCGACCAGAAGGTCAAGGGTTCAAGCTCCAGCTCCTGCAGCAACATGCCGATGTGTCCTTAACCTCAACGTACTCCTGCTGCTTCATCGGCGAATGAATGTGTATGAATGGGATTGGTTACTTCTGATGGTCTCACTACATAGCAACCACTGCCATCAGTGTGTGAATGTGTAGGTGTGATATGCGGTGTAAAAGCACTTTGAGTAGTCAGAAGACTGGAAAAGCACTATACAAGCTCAAGTCCATTTGCCATTTACTTATCTCACTTATTAACAGTTGCATGCAGCAATGTGCCAAGGAAAGAAACAACGTGTGGACGAAGAAATAAAGAAGGGCTCGCTAGAATAATGGATGTAAACAAAGCATGATTCATATTGAGTCTTTTCTTTAAAAAAGTTGTTTAAAAAATGTATTTAGCTAAGGTTGAATTCATTGATTTGTTTGATCTTACAACAAAGGAAACATTTTTGCCTAACCCACTCCATCAAAGTGCATTATGCGTAACGTTAGCATGAACCCACTTTTTCTGTCGCCTGTCAAAACAGGTGTGTGTTGAGAGAATTACAGATTAAGAATTAAAAGATGTTTTGATATTTTGAAATGATGATTTGATTTGTTGGTCTGTCAGTCTCACACTTCTGTGTGTAGCAACTGATTACGATTTGCAGTAGCAGACTTGTAATTCTAGTGCTGACTAGCTAGGAGGGACGCTTTTAATCGTTGAGTCGACTAATCACGCACATTCCTGTTTAAGACTAAGCCTACCTCATAACTTTATGTACCCTAAAATAATACATGTTGTTTAGAGGGTTGGTTGTTCACACCATTTAGCAAATGCAAACTTGTCTACAACATCTGTTTTTTGTTATTTGCGAAGCTGCCGACCAAAATGCATGATATGACTCAAAAGCTTGTATAATTTTTACTTCTAGAGAACCTCCATCCAGATTGTTTAATACCTACAGGACTGGAAATGCAGAACATGCCACATCAGAATCAGCCGTTTTTTGCAAAAATGTCTTTGTCAACTCTGACAGTCGTTGCATCGATATGATATGATGAATGAATGACAAACACAAGAAATATCACTGATCATTTTTCTCTTCTTTATTTTCTTTCAGTGAAACTATCATGTTCCTACATCAGATATTTTACCAGGGTCTGAAAGCCAGAATAGCAAGCTGGCCGACATTAGTGCTGGGTAAGAAGACCTCTTTATATTTTGAGTTCATTTTCATGGCACCCTTGTTGTTTGTGTCATTGTTACAGTATCTTGGTTTTAATCTCCTTTTAGCCGACTTGTTCGACATCCTGCTGCCCATGCTGAATATCTACCAGGAGTTTGTGAGGAACCACCAGTACAGCCTGCAGATCCTGGCTCACTGCAAACAAAACCGAGACTTTGACAAGCTGCTGAAGCAGTACGAGGCCAAGCCTGACTGCGAAGAGAGGACTCTGGAGACCTTCCTCACCTACCCCATGTTCCAGGTTTGCTCATTCATCTCGCTGATATACACGAGAAATAAAGGCAGACCAATTTGTTTGCTTCAGAGGCTGTAGCCCGCAGCCAGATTATGTCGTTAATTCTGAGCTCTTGCAACCACACTGGGCCAAGTTGTTCTCCTCACATAAAACTGTTACCTTTGGGGCATATAATTCAACATCTTAATGCTAGTTGGCTATAGCTATGCCAATGAAACCCAGTTGTAGCTGTCTGTAAAGTAGTGGTTGCTTTGTTTACTTGACTTCCAACACTGGATGTTTCTTAAATCCACTATGAGACAAAAATTCAGAAAAATGTAAACGAAGATCTAAACTTCTAACTGGAATCTACAATTTCAAGATTGATGACAAGCTTTTCAACAACTATAAATATCCATGATTGTTGATAATGTATTGTCCTTTCTCTTTATTTGGTTACTAGCTTTTGAAGTCAATGTCTCTTCCAAAGATATTTTGAAACATCTCTTTTAAATTGAAGATTTTTTTTTTTTTTGTCAGTTTTTGTCAGTAACCTACTGGCACTGTTAACTCAACAGAGATTTTTCTATAGCTGTTTACGTCCAATGTACAATTGTAAATGTACTAATTCCTGACACACACACAAAAAAAAATCACCATTAATGATAATTTTCAGGTTTTATTCATAGCCTTAAAGTCATATCATTGGCTTTTTTTTTCCTTAGTTGCAAATTTGGTTTAAAAAAATTGCATAACCTTGAGTGGCTCTGTTGTAGTTGGTCTGTATCCAAGTCTAAGTTTGTAAAAGGTGACAAATGGTGCCGCCAGTGAGGTTTTGTGCTGCCCAAAATAAAACATCAAAAGTCTTTTTTTGTTTTATTTCCACTGAGTATGTTATCATGAATAAGCTCAGGCCTCTTTTTATGACCATTGTGGTTCAGTCAGGCTCGGCTTGGAGAACCTGCTCCCCTTTTGAGCACACATTGTCTCTTTGAGTGATGTTTCATATTTCAGCAGCACTAATCAAGGAAAGAAGAAAGCGTCCATTTGTCTGCTGTTGCTCAAAATATCCCTGTAGTGTTTTTCATGTCTATAAAAAGCGGTTGTTTTTGGAGCTCAGGTTTTAATAATGGCTCCTTTCTAGCAATGCAAGCAGTTTGTGATGATCCACTCTGTAGGGACCTACAGGTAGGCATGCAGTGTTGTGTTGATGATACATCATGCTGATGAGTGCAGATTGTGCTCTCCATTGATACACTACTCATTAGTTTAAATGAACAGGTATATTCCTTTGTGTACATATTTGTGTTTATGCATGCATGTTAGTTGTTATATGTGACCCCTTGTTCCTTCTCTTCTTCTTTTTTTTCTCTGTAGATTCCCCGCTACATTCTTACACTGCACGAACTGTTGGCCCACACACCCCATGAACATATCGAGAGAAATAGTCTGGACTATGCCAAATCTAAGCTGGAGGAGCTTTCCAGGTACAAACAAATGCATCACAAACAAGAGGGTTCGTTTTAGAAGCTGGGAAACACACAATTAAGTCATGTTCTCCATCCAACAATGTAAAACATGGAATTTTAACTGATTAGAAAAGTCTCAATAAAATATGGAGGCCTCCATATCCACTACAGAGGTAAAACAAAGTGTCATCAGCTAAAAGAGTCTTTGGTAAAATGATCCAAAGTTTCACAGTGAGTAGTAGCCGTTTAAACGGAATCGGCATGAGATGTTGATTCAAAGAATACTTCACATGCATGTACAAGACATAGGGATGTAGAGATTAATTGTAAAAATCGTGATAAATCGATTCAAAGGAGGTAAGATTCCTATCGGTACTCTGAGAAATGAATCGCAATAATATGGTGAGCGTCAGCAGCTGTAGAGCAAGATTTTAAAATTGAGGACGCACCACTGTCTTTTAAATCAGAGTTGTGGAAGCATTTTGGCTTCCTCAAAACAGAAAATGAAAGAGGTGAGAAGATAGCAGACAAGACAAAAACTGTGTGCAAATATTGCAAGAGAGGAACTACACAAATAGCACAACCAGCATGATGCAGCATTTAACCCGACACCACAGTGAAAAGCTCCAATCCCCTCCCCTGTGGACTGTGTGCAAGGAGGTGCAAAACTAAACATATATTTTTTTTAAAAGCAACTGTAAGTAGCCTGAAAGATCAAATCAGAATCCTTACATTAACATTAAAAAAAGACTTATTGTGTTATTGTACTTTGTTTCTACAGGAACCTATTCAGTCCTTTACACGTCAACTAAGAGTGATTTAATGTCCCTTTTCCTCAGAATCATGCATGACGAAGTGAGTGAGACTGAAAACATAAGGAAGAACCTGGCAATTGAGCGCATGATTGTAGAGGGATGCGAAATCCTCCTGGACACCAGCCAGACTTTCGTGAGACAAGGTATGTCCTGCTTTCAAGTTAGAGTCTCAGGTCCCATTGAAGAAACCTCCAGTTCCACAGAGGAGCAGAATCATGGCAGAGAGAGAGAGAGAGAGAGAGAGAGAGAGAGAGAGAGATTTGTCCCTCCTTACTTGTCTGACAGACTCATCTCGCATCTCCAACCCTGCACTGGATGGGAATAACTCAGTTTTGGGCATCAACGTGTTCTACTTGTGAGGAGAGTCTTTAGTGTCCATTTCTAATTATGCTGTTAAGAGTCAAACATATGATTCATCCGGGACTTTAAAATGTAATATGTCCCCAAAAGGCTCCTATGGACAAGGACAGAGAAAACAGAAATGCTAGATTGTTTAAATACAAGTATCCAATGTGACTGTATTTTCTTCAGAGAAAGGCAAAACTCTTCTTGCACGATATTTTAAAATAATCTCCCGTCCTTGACTTGTTTCCGCTTACATATATTTCCCTCCCTCTGTTTCTTTGTCCTCCTTTTATTTCCACTATACACAGGGTCTCTCATCCAGGTGCCAATGAGCGAGAAGGGCAAGATCACCCGTGGGCGCCTGGGCTCTCTGTCCCTGAAGAAGGAAGGGGAGAGGCAGTGCTTTCTCTTCTCCAAGCACTTAATCATCTGTACCCGAGGTTCAGGGGGAAAGCTTCACCTCACCAAGGTGGGCATACACTGGAAAACATCTACCTCTGTTTAAATTCAACAGATAAACTGGCTCACTGTACATTATATGCAATGGAGGGCTGGTGTATTATTACTCTTAATTACTAAACATTATAAGGCGGGAATTATGTCTGAGGTGAAAGGGAAGGGCAAAAACTTCAACTTAAGCCCTTACATAAACAAAAACTATTTTTGCAACTTGCAGGCATTAAAACAAGCTGTAAACACAATATGGACATATACATTTTTAATAAATATAACTCAAATATCATCTCTCTTTTAGCTCTATATTTACTCTCAAAGAGAAAATGATCTTGTTTAGAGGTTCTAAGTGCTCTGCTACATTCACCAGCTGGTCTCTAACTGCGTTTGTTGGCAGGTTTGTGATTAAATGATAGCTTTCTTTAAATTTAAATCTCTTCTTCTATATCTATATATCTGCATATTGCTCCAAAATTGAAGCTCTGAGAAAGAACCAAATGAAGACGTTTTGAGATGATAAACAGCTAAACAACGATCATTTTTCTGTGGTCTCATTAAGGAAGCCTATTGTCATTTTTTATATAACAATTTTAAAAACCATGGTTGAATTACGATCCATACGATTTAAACAATATCATGTCCTCTTTCAGATACTTCTTAGTGTCTGACATTATTTCAGCTTTAGTTATTAGAAACATTTAGGTTTAGTATTAACTCTCTGGAAAGAAAGTTAGTTTCACTGTCGGCTGCACCAGATGCAAATTACATTCACAGGCACATGGGATCCACAGAAATCGATGCATACTTTTAACCCGGTCAGTGCTGTTTCTAATTTTAACCTAACTGGTTTGTGTCTTATTGTGAAGTCCTACAGCCATATGAGAGCCGTATATTTAATATCTACTCCAGCAGAGTTTACTCACAGAAAGCAGAGAAGCTGCTTAGCCTATTTTTACATTTGTAATTCCCTTCTGATATATATTTCAAATACGTGTTTTATTAAATTCTTAGTCGCATTCAAGGGATGGACTCTGAACGATGAAATTGTACAGCAAGTTGGGTGAAATGAGGCTTGTGTGAAGAATTTACTGTCAGTTGTATGTTGTCTGCAGAATGGAGTCGTCTCTCTCATAGACTGCACTCTGCTGGAGGACCCCGAGGGAACAGATGATGAGTGTGAGTGTTTTATTCATACAGATGCTTTCAAAAAAAAAAAAAAGCATCATATTTCCAGTGTGTGATGTTGTATATAATGTATGACACCCAGATTGTGCCAGGATTGATTTGTTTCTTATAATTCATATTTAGAAAAACCAAAAGCATGTAGTGCCATTAGAGATTAACACACACTCAAATAAAAAATAAAAATCAATTGCAATCATCTCTTTGTGTTTGACACAAAGCCAAATCAGACAAGAGCGGCCAGGACATGGAGCACCTGGACTTCAAAATTGTGGTGGAGCCAAAGGACAGCCAGTCATTCACAGTCATCCTCGTTGCCTCCTCGAGGCAAGAGAAGTCTGCATGGACCAGTGACATCAGCCAGGCACGTCAACAAGCATCACCATTTCCAGCAGTCAGCTAAAAAAGCTGAGGATGTCTGTAGCGAGCCTGCACGTAACAGAACTCACTAACATTTATTTTTCCCTCCCTGTTTGCTTCTACTGCATCTGTACTACAGTGCATAGACAACATCCGCTGCAATGGGCTGATGATGAACGCCTTTGAGGACAACTCCAAAGTCACAGTGCCACAGATGATCAAGTAAGCATTGTTTGTATTTATATAATCAACTCTTTGCAGCCTCATTTGTGTTCTGGCAATTCTTTTCATGTTTGTGCGTTTGTTTGTTTTTCTGCGCAGGTCAGATTCGACTTTGTACTGTGACGATGTGGACATCCGCTTCAGTAAGATGATGAACTCCTGCAAGGTGCTGCAGATCCGCTACGCCAGTGTGGAGCGCCTGCTGGAGAGGCTGACTGACCTCCGCTTCCTCTCCATCGACTTCCTCAACACCTTCCTGCACTCCTATCGTGTGTTCACCACCGCCGATGTGGTTCTCGACAAACTCATCACCATCTACAAGAAGCCCATCAGTGCCATTCCTGCCCGGTGAGTCACATGACACTTGACAGATTTTGAAGGTAGACAAACACATCTTATTTGATACATTTGTCATGAGTGGGCATAAAGATGAGATTGATCATCTAATGTGATGAACAGAACGAGCAGGTTTTGACTTTAAAAAGGGTTTTGGCCTTAAAAAAGGGTTTCTTCTCGAATTGCTAAATGAATAATTTTTTGGGGGGGATTTTGCAAAATGAGGATTTAGAATAAACAGGCCTACATGTAGTGTTTATAGTCTATAACATTTTGATGCAATCAAATGAAGCTCAAGCTCCTTATCAGCTAGTTCTCTGCTAGCTTGGACTTGGAAAAAAAAAACAATGCTTTTTGCATTGATTTTGAATCCAGGAGACATGAAGGACAGCAGATAAATAAATATTGTGTTAAAATGTATATGCACATTTTGTCTGATCATCGCAATTCATCTTATCACAACATTGAACAATCTTCATGTTACAATGCACCTAGTTTCTTTCTCTTTTAGCAGATGTGAACGATGAGTTTATTGTGGGTATTTTCACCCAAGGAATCTCAGTTCAAACATGCAGTGCTGTGAAGCAAGCAAGAAACAGACGATAACTTGGGAATAGGCTACTGGAAAGATAGACAGATCAAAGTAGAGAGTGATAGATAGACAAATATACAGATAGTCAAGTTTAACAGTTTTGTCTCCGTCTGATTTGAGTTGCTGCTTGTGAATTTGGAGTTTGATTTTTGATCGTGTTTGGTTAATGTCAACACAGAGAAGCAGTATATAATAGAGGAAGGCTCTGTGATACTTCAGAGTCATGGACTGTGTGAGTATGGACATGGACCTGTGCTTGTAATTACGTGTCATGTTTCATGTGTCATGTGTATTTTTGTATATTTTCTGTGGTCAAAGGCAGTAATTGGGTCCAGTCTCTCCTGCCTGCCTGGGAGTGTCTAAACTGGGCTCTGTTGCTCTATGGCAACCAACCTCGCTGCTGAAGTACCCTTCCCTCCCTCCCTCTCTCTCTCTCTCTCTCTCTCTCTCTTTCTCGCTCACCCTCTCCTTATCTGCAAAGATCCATAGTGTGAAATATTGACGGAGTGTTGCAGTGGGGCTAACTCGACGTTCCACAGGCCTAGAGCGAGGGACCCCACTGTGGGGTTGAGATCACGGGGAGCTCCCCATGCCCACGCCCTGCAGCATGCTCTCCCGTGGCGCTTGTCATGTCACCGAGAGACACCTACACTCGGCTGCTTGTGTCAGCAGTGGCCATGCGCACTATCACTCGCTGTGCTATTTATGGGAACCCGTGAGGTCGCCAGGAGGGTGGCAGGGAGTGGGAGAGGTTTTCTGCAACACTGCAGCTTGTGTTCTGCTCTGAAACGACAGAAGCAGCTGCATACAGACTTTTGGATGCTCGGCTGACTTGTTTCGCATTAATTATTCAGGAGGAGTTATGTAATTAGCAAAGCTCTTGAAACATAGACTTTACTTACCAAATATCAAAGAAACACATTTCCTGTGTTCTAAAAAATCAAATGCATATATCTTCCCCTTGTTGCAGGTCCCTGGAGTTATTCTTTGCAAGCAGTCAGAACAGCAAACTCCTTTATGGAGAGCCTCCCAGCTCCCCGAGGGCCAGCAGGAAGTTCTCCTCCCCTCCACCGCTCGCTATCGCCAAGAATTCATCCCCAAACCGCCGGCGAAAGCTCTCCCTCAACATCCCCATCATCACTGGGGGCAAAGCTCTTGACCTTGCTGCCCTCAGCTGCTCCTCAAACGGCTATGCAAGCATGTACTCATCCGTGTCCCCCTTCAGCAAGACCACCTTGGACATCAACAAACTGTATGTGTCCAGCCCGGTCGGCAGCAAGATACCTGATGAGGGAGAGGACAAGAAGGACAAGATGGAGGAGACCTCAGGGGGCAAACAAGGTAGGTCAGCAAGAGCCGGTCATCAGGGATTGTTCAAATTCTTATTTTCTGCAGCGATCCTTTTCGATGATCTGTTCATTTTGTTTGTGATGTAGATCTCTCTGTACGAGAAGAAAGTGACAACGACCACAATCAGAGTGATGATGGGGACGCAGAGGCCTCTCCCATCAAGTCACCAACCACCCCAAAGAACGTCAAATGCAAAAACTCCTCAGGTACATCGTGTCCTCATAATATGCATTAACATTTTTACCCCTTGATACTGCTATCTAAGCGAGGTGCTACCTGTGTCCAATGTGTCTGCACTGGGCTGATAATACTCTCAGCAAACTAAGAGTAGGATAGGTTGAAAAGTGCTCGCTGTGCAAAACAAGACAAAAACATAAAAACTGTGAAGAGAAATTGATATAATATGCGTTTCAGAAATGGTTAGAATCATGTGAGGAAATCCAACGCTTGGCTTTAGTAGGCGTTAGGGGAAACTTGTGTCATAGCAACTGCATCAAGAGCGTGTTTTCCTTTTCCGCCCCCAACAATGAGGCTGTTTCAGTTGAGCCAAGATTATCCGTGCCTTCTAAATCTTGGGACAAAACACACACATCCATTGTGCGTGGTGAAGAATTAACTGAAAAATGTGCGGCAGAGAGAGAGACGGTCTCTCTGCTCGCGGTGTAGGATTCTTAGCTGCTCATGATCCGTCTACAGTTCCAGGATTTAAACATAGCAGACTGCAGAGAATCTGTTGATTCCTCTGTTATGCTGATATTTGGTTGCTATATTTAGCTGCAACCATCTTGAATATCAAAGCCTCTTGGAAAGGAAAGTCTGGAGGGAAAGTAATGTTGGCCTATAGTGCCCCCTAGTGGAGGTTTGTGCAACAACAAGTAGGGCATGTTGCAGTGTATTTATACAGACTCAGTTATAGTGGATATTTGATAAATTCCCTGTGAGTTGCATAGAATTAAAATGCTCTTTGTTTGTTATTTACCTCCTTAAAATAAGACCCATTTAATTTACCATATATAACAATCTAGCTACTTTCCAGATGGTTATTTTCTTTTGAATCGTGCTCCTTGTAGAGTTCTCCCTGTTTTCCTACAACAATGGCATGGTGATGTCCTCATGTCGAGAGCTGGATAACAACCGCAGTGCCCTGTCTGCTGCCTCCGCCTTTGCTATTGCTACAGCCGGAGCCAATGAGGGCACACCAACCAAGGAAAAATACCGGCGGATGTCCCTCGCCAGCACTGGTACACGCACATCTCTCATGTTCATATCACGTATTCTTTGATTCCAATGCTACATCTTTCACACAGTGTAATGCATAGACTTATTCTAGATTTTCTCTGCAGGCTTCCCAACAGATCAGAGAAATGGAGACAAAGAGTTTGTGATCAGACGAGCAGCAACCAACAGAGTCCTTAACGTCCTGAGGCACTGGGTGTCAAAGCACTCTCCGGTAAAAATGTCCCAGAAAAATGACCGATCCACACAACACATACCTGTGTAACTAAAGAAAATAGCCTGATTTATATCATCCAATCAGTTTAAGGTGAAAAAAAAATGAATGAAATCAAAAACAATGAAGCTTCTTGTCTCTAAAAAGAAGTTGCTTCATACAAACTGTATATTATTGACTATAAAAAACAGGAAGACTTTCAAATATCATTGTGCCATAAATGGTCTGTCTTTGGTTACATGTGCTACGCGAAAGCTTTTTTTTACAGCTAAAAAAACCCCACCAGAACTTGTCATTAAAAATTATTTTAATAAACTATTTTTTTAAGCAAAAATATGCTTTTTAGATTAAGATATCATTTTAGTATGGCCGATAAAACAACAGTAATTTTATAGTTGTACTAAAGTCACTTGCTTGTGTGCTGTCTGTTTCTCTCCAGGACTTTGAAAAAAACAACGAGCTAAAGACAAAAGTTATTGCCTTCCTGGATGAAGTGATGCACGATCCCGAGCTATTGACCCAGGAGAGGAAAGCTGCAGCAAACATCATCAGGTACTATTCTATAAAGGAATCTCAATGTTTTTGTAAGCTCCTGTTTCTTTAAGACATAATATACTGTACATACTACAGAGCTTTCCTCTTTACTGTCTGTCAGGACTCTAACTCAGGAAGATCACAGCGACAATCAGATAACCCTTGAAGATGTGACACAACTGGTGAGTGATCTTTATGTTTGTGAATATTAAAGTGGAGTGTGGATCAGGTATAAAACAGGAGAAAGGAAAAAAATGGATCTCACATTTCTGCATATCTGCATTTATGAGCACTTCATTTGTCCGAGTGATGTGATGCTGATGCTTATCTTCTTTATTAATTAATTGATTGCTCCAATAAAACCTGGTTCCTCTGAGCACAATTTGACATTTAATGATTAGGGATGCACCGATGCAGTGGTTCAACATCAGTATCGGCCCATTTTGGCCCTGTTGAAAGACATCGGCACATCGGCAAATGTTGTGGCATAAACCAATATCAGTAGCTGATGCTTATGACTTGTGCCAAAATCAATTTAATGCTGACATCTAGTACACAAAAACAATCATTCAGAGAAGAGTTTTTTTCTAAATCTAAACATTGTTTTGCTATTTCCCAAAATCACATTCAAAGACGTACCCATGTTCTGTTTTCACCTACCTGCTGCTTTTGACTGGTTCCTTGGGTGCAGTCTTAATCATTTTTGGTTGCTTCTGTATCTTCCAGATGGGAGAGGGGAGGACCGATCCCTTTGAGAGCCACTCTGCATTGGAGATCGCAGAACAGCTCACTCTGCTGGACCACCTGGTGTTCAAGGTCATCCCATACGAGTGAGTGCCTGCCTCATCTGAGCTGCACATAAGAACAACACATGGATTCATTCAGTGTCCACTCAATCATCTCATTCACGTGTTCACATTACAGAGAATTCTTTGGACAAGGATGGATGAAGAATGACAAAAATGAGAAGACGCCGTACATCATGAGAACAACAAAGCACTTCAACGATGTATGTTCCAGGCAACAAGACACAACTAAGTGTTCTTTTGATGAATTCAGGCATGAATCTGAGTTCGATCTGTTTCGTCTTCCCTTTGCAAGGTAAGCAACCTGATCGCCACAGAGATCCTGCGCTGTGAGGACGTGGTCACTCGTGTAGTGGTCATAGAGAAATGGGTGGCTGTCGCTGACATCTGTCGCTGTCTCCACAACTACAACGCTGTGCTCGAGATCACCTCCTCCCTCAACCGCAGCTCTGTCTTCCGCCTCAAGAAGACCTGGCTCAAAGTTTCCAAGCAGGTGTGTATCTCCCCATGTTTTTGTTTTTATCGTGTGCTTGGTATTATCAGTAACTGTGTTTTTTTTTTTTTTGTCTAGACGAAAGGATTGATTGACAAGCTACAGAAACTGGTCTCATCTGAGGGGAGGTTCAAAAACCTGAGAGAGGCTTTGAAGAAGTGAGTTTACTTCGAGGACATAGTTTTGGAGTTGATCAATAAAAAAAATAGTGCACTACAAGTGGATGATGTTTTTTTCCCCTCCTCAATCAGTTGCGACCCTCCCTGCGTGCCCTACCTGGGGATGTACCTCACCGACCTCGCTTTCATCGAGGAGGGAACGCCAAACTACACCGAGGACAACTTGGTCAACTTCTCCAAGATGAGAATGGTGAGAGTTTTGAAGTCCTGACACAAGAGATGCACATTTCAGCTAATGTCTGTTTTACAGTCAAGAGTAAAATGTTCTGTCCTCATGTTTTTATTAGATTTCTCACATCATCAGAGAGATCAGGCAGTTTCAGCAAACAGCATACAAGATCGAAATGCAACCAAAGGTAAATGGATATTAGGACTGTAGGTGATGGGTGTGCAACCTTTTTCCTATTCGACATTGCATCCCAAGCGGGACACTTGCTCCATTGAGGGGCGTGTCCAGACCTTTCTGACAGTGGTGGCCTAGCTGCGGTATACTATATGCAGGGGTGACACGTTTGTGTGCTCACATTATTAATTATTTAACGACAAACATTCAAGTATTTAATAAATGGGATAGTCCTGCATATTTTTTCCCCATGCATCCATTATCTATACTGCTTGTCCCATTCAAGTATCACAAGGGGCTGGAGCCAGTCCCAGCAGTAATCGGCGAGAGGCGGGGTACACCCTGACTGGTCGCCAGTCATTCACAGGGCAAACATTTAGAAACTGACATACATTCACACCTACGGGCAATTTAGAGTCACCAATAGACCTAACAAGAATGTCATTGGACCATGGGAAGAAGCTGGGGTAGAACAAACCCTACACAGAAAGGCCCTGTCCGACTGAGATGCGGACCAGGAACTGTATTTATCTTTTACCCATTATTAGGAACACAATAATGTGGCAAAAGGTACATTTGTAAGCTGAATTCTTTAAGGATATAGAAAAAGGCCCGTCAGTGTGTAAGCTGTTACGCAGCTGCCCATCAGTAACCGCGGCTGTATTAGCTCTGGTTAATACTGTAGCTATTGCCCTAACGCTCTATACCCCGATGTCGTCTCTTTAATTAACCTGGTTATAACCTTCAGACATTATGCTACTGCTGTCAGTGAGTGGCCACTAGTTATGCCATTTCTTAAAAAGGGTTACTGGGAAATCCACTGGTTAAAATGAAAACTCTGCATAGTTTAAAGAACATTACGATTTATTCAACCTTCAAATTTTCTCTTCTGTTCACGTTTCAGGTAGCCCAGTATCTACTGGATATGAGCTCGGTTCTGGATGAAGAAAGCATGTACGAATGCTCACTCAGAATTGAGCCCAAAGTGCCCAACTGATGTTCAAGCCGGTCATCCACATTACTTTCCTCTGTTGATATTACACATAAGTTAAATTGCAAATCAACTTTTGTATAGTTGTACATGTTTAATATTTACTCTTCTGTACAGTCGATGTCTAAGGTTGTTTGACAACGCAAAAACCTTTTCAGTGTACATTTTGATTTTCTTTTTTTTTTTTTTTACGATTGCGATGAAGCCCCTTGCTTTAAGGTTTCTTTTTCCTTTTGGGGTATTTCAAGCATAATAACAGAGGTCTCTTTGATGAATACAGCTGTGTCTTCTCAGTGACCAATGACATTATTTTGCATCATCTCATACTGTGTCAACTTTGCACTTTCTGAGCACCTGTGCTGCCAGCCATCGCTCTCTTTGCTTGAGTTTTGTCGATTACTGAGTTTTCTCTGCAACCAATGTAGCATTGTAAAAATGTAACTGCTTCAAATCAGGTATAAGAGCACAGAAAATATAACTTTGTTAAAAGTCAAAAACGCTAATGAGTGGAGATGACAGCAAGGTATCTTCTGAAGCATGGCTGTCTCTGTGCTTCCAAAACCAAAACAGGATTTATTTTGTCATTTCTTTTCAAAAACTCTAATGTCAGGTGTTTCCAGCTGACTTTTGCACTGCAATCCATTTTTATATACAACATTTTGTTGTGGAGCACCCTGAAAAAAAACAAATATACTTATTCTGACTATAGGCTCAATGTGCTGAATGTTTGAAATTCCTCATGTTCTCACTAACTTCTTTAATGAACAGGTCTAAGAGTTCTACTAGCATCTCTGTGAGGCGTTACTTTGGTCCAGCAATGCTTTAAACTTGTAACTAACATGAGCATGCTAAAATGCTCCGAATCGGACATTTTAAGAGATCAGATCTTCTAGTGGTTGCAATATTTCAGTCCAGATCAAAGAGGTACATCCGATCAACCAGCAGACTGGAATTGCAATCTCTTGAGTTATGCCTCAAGCATGGCTGAAACCCAAATGCATTGTTATTGAGAACATGACAGGGGAAAGGAAATATGCAGATGAAGAATTCATTTATAATAATTCCACATATGATGCAGAATCACACCGTTTTTGCCAGTAGCAGGCAAACAATCGTAGGCTCCGTAACATACAATAGGGGTCTGGAAGATCTGCACTAAAATGCATTGCGTCATTAATCTAGAAGCGATACACTCCTTATCTTAGCTTGTTGTCACATGAGGAGCCCAAACTCACCTCAGACATGTAAATACATTTTTCCCTATGGCTGTGTGACAACATATAATAACACAAAAGCACTACATCTGTTAAGATTACCATGATTTGAGGCAAGAGATGAGTAATCTCATTTTACTGTTACACTTAAAAGTTACGCAAGTACAGCACAGTGAGTTCTCCTTGGTCCAAATTTTAATGTCTCTTGGTTTTAGTTGAAGTAATAAAAAAGATCATATGCAGTGGAAAGTGTTGTACCTTCAGGTTTGGCGATACTTCTGTAGAGTAAACAGTTGTTGCTCTTCTGTAATTTAAAAGACAATCTGTCCTTGCTGTTCCAGTGATTGTGGAACGTGACTGTATATCACTCTGTTATATGCATTGCTGTTTAAGATTTATGATGTAATGTATGTGAATGACCTCTGCCTGCAGCATTCAAACACTATTTTTGTAGTAGTATAAGAGAGAGTGACATGCTCTTTATATGAACATGGGAAAGTATTTTGTACTTTGTTGTTAATTCACCTCACTGAGATGTGCTGTACATTTTGTACATGCAACCCTGCATACTTCTCAATGTGGAACAGTGTAATCCTTTAAAATACAAACAAAAGAAGTTGTATCTCAAGCTAAAAACACAAACGCTTCAACAGTCCTGAAACCATGACTTAGAGGTAGGAGACAACTTTAAAGTGTTTTGCATTTATACTGTAATCCTGTCTATAACCATTTCTATTAGCAGGAATATAGTAATGTAGTGCTTATTCTGTGAATATTTGTATGTATTTTTACAATGTTTGTACAGTACACTTTTAAAGCTCATATGGCAGGCATGCAACACCTTCACAGACAAAAATATGACTATATACTTATACTGTATACACTTATACATGCACATACTCTTATAAGGTATATCAACAAATAAACATTTGCTGTTAGCAATACCCAGTGGTATGAAAATTATCTTTCAGCCCTCATGTTTCCACACCTAAAGAAATATTAACAGTTTTGTAAGAAAAACAGATTAAAAGACAACAAAAGAAAAGATTTGATTATGGTGATACCAACCAATAAATACAAATATTGTTTCCCAGTTACCTCTTGCAAATAAATCCATTTTATATCAGAGGCCTTTTGTCTCAAGTGTTTTTGTAGTTCACCTTTCGGTTGAACCTGTGCTCCCTCAGAGTGGAATACAAACTAATCTCACACTGTTTGACGTCATCAGAATCTGTTTGTCCTATGAAGCCAGCAGTCGTTGCAGTTTTACGAACGAAAGCTTCATGAAATAAAAACACAACATGTTTTAACAATACTGAAACAATCAGAAAATAGAGGGCCACTCATCCAAATGTTAAATGATAAAGTAAACATCATTTAATTCCATCCCTTTATACCATTCAATTCATGCAGGTTAGATAGGCTTCATCATTTTATTCACACATGGCTTGAGGAACCTGCCCTACAGGTAAGAGGACAACACTCATTTTCCCAACCACAAAACTGGATTTTAACCGAGGCTGAGCATTAATGTGGCAAATACACCAAATAATTTATAAATTGTTTTTTTTTTAATTGAGGTGTTATCACGAGAAATAAGAATTGCTGTGTTTTGTTACCTGAAAAAGCCTTATACCCATAGACTGTAAATACCGCTATGTTTCTACAGTAGCCCAGTACAGACAAACCGGACACATACAGTCCAGTCCGGCTGCGTACTGAGCCTTTAGAGATTGTAAAATATGTTGCAATCTGCAATCCAACCGCTACGTGTCGCAACGTCCACTGATTTCACAGATAGTCCTGTACTGTACATGGGTGTTACGTTTGACAGTGATTGGTTGACAAATAGTTTTTATTAGAAGGGGAATTTGATCCGGCAGCAGATCCCCTCGTGACTCCTGATCTGCTTCACTTCACTTTCACTCGTTGTCTCTGCAGGAGCTTTGATGAGAGATCATCATGAACACTTTAGTCTTTTTATTTACTTTCCTGTCCGCAGCTTCAGCTCTCCACCTGTCTGGACAAGGTAAGCTGCTACCTGCGACCGTCTTTTTAGTGCCTAAACTTAAAAATTGCAATTTTTTGTTATCCGTGTTTACTTGTTGCTTGCTTTCACTTTCATAATCTGTGATCGCTCAACTCTTGAGTTCATATTGTTTAATTCTACGCATTGAAGCTATTTTTAAAATTATTAATTGTTTTCAGACGAGTTTCACTTCAAATCATGGATGGAGCAGGTATGAAACTTTCTTTGACGCACTTAATAAAGTAGGATACAGTAGGCCTACATACAGTACAGCCTTCAGGAATGAGGAAGTTACTGCAATAAAAAAAAATCACTGAAAGCCTGTTACTGAAATAATCTGCTGACTTGTAATCAACATGATTACAACAGTATTATAAGCTTGTATGTTACATATGTTAACTAGCCATCTCCCACATGTGCAGCACAGCAAACAGTACAGCATGGAAGAGTACAACATGAGACTCCAGATATTCACTGAAAACAAGAGGCTGATTGAGAAACACAATGCAGGAAACCATTCCTTCTCACGTAGGAAAAGCCTTTTTTTAATTTCTTTTTTTATTTAGAATAAGCTTCATAGTAAAAAAAAATGTGTTTAACCTAAGCTTTCATGTCTTCCTGCAGTGGGGCTGAACCAGTTTTCAGACATGACATTTACTGAATTTCAAAAGGCTTTTCTCTGGTCTGCGCCACAGGTACAGACATTTTATCCATTCATAGAGCAGTTACAAAAATATAAAAGGTGTTTTTTTTTTTCTGGACAGTTAGGGTACTTTTTTTTAATATGCTGCCTTCTACAGAACTGCTCTGCTACCAAGGGGAACTACCGCCAAAGCAACGGACTGTATCCGGACTCCATCGACTGGAGAAAGAAAGGAAACTATGTAACAGCTGTGAAGAATCAGGTAAAAGTTTAACTGCACACAATCCACAAATACATTTTGCTTTCTGTAATTGTTCCCAGAAGTCATAGTGCATAATTGCTGGTGAATTAAAACAGTGTATATTGATATTTGTTCACTCCCTCGAACTGTAAATCAAATGTTAATCCAGTGGTTTCAAACTTAACATTGAGCATACATAAAAAATAGAATATAAAAAACACTTAATATAATTTTCAGAAGCTTTAAAGAAATATGACATAAATATGACAAAAATAAGAACCATTGTTCTTGTTTCTGACAAAATATTTAACCTTGGCTAGTTATACAATAACATACTGTAGGTTCCCCAATAAAGGATAAAATACACAACATTTAGACTCGACAGAATACATTTATCAGATGTAACTTGTAAGCCATAACAGTGAGCCAGCATGCACTAGTCCAGGAAGAACTAAAGGGAATTCCTACACATTTACTGTGAATTATTTACATCAAACGCTTTATTAAAACCCATTGTTTTTTTAGTGTTTACTTATTCTCTAAATGTCTGTCATTGCACTCAAGGGAGGCTGTGGCAGTTGCTGGACATTTTCAACCACCGGCTGTTTGGAGTCTGTTATTGCGATCAACAAAGGGAAGCTTGTACCGCTGGTAATCTTCTTTCACTTCTCTATCAAAGCTGCTGTTTCTCCATTATGTTCTGTTATCACAGTAAGGAAAAAAGTTTGGCAATCTTTGACTCATTTTCATATTTCTCAGTCAGAACAACAGCTGGTGGACTGCGCCCAGGCATTCAACAATCATGGATGCAACGGGTGAATCAGAAGCATTTGTTTCTCTCTTCTCATCAAATTCCGCGTTTCACTGCAGACGTATTCTAATAACTACCATTTTTTTTTATCTAGTGGCCTTCCCAGTCAAGCATTTGAATACATCATGTACAACAAGGGACTGATGACAGAGGAGGACTACCCATACACCGGTTATGTAACTGAAATGCAATCTTTTACTGAAACAAAACTAAATCATGACCAAAAAACAACTTTAAAGTAACAAATCTGATCGTTTGGAGGTTTTTTTTGTTTTTGTTCAATTAGGATGGTGCATGTGTGTATAAACCAGACCTGGCTGCAGCGATTGTGAAGAATGTGGTGAACATCACTGCAGTGAGTGAACAACTGAGTTTTTTTCTTCAAGGTTGATGACTTTAGTGAAGGCCTGTGTGTGATGAAGCTTTCCATTTTCACAGTATGATGAGATGGGGATGGTGGATGCAGTCGGCACACGAAATCCTGTCAGCTTTGCCTTTGAGGTGACCTCTGACTTCATGCATTACTCACAGGGCGTGTACACCAGGTGAGGAGAAGACATAGTCATGTTTTTTCTTGTATGTTTCTATTAATTTACATGTTTTTCCTGTACTTATACTGTATAATGATTAATATAATATATACAGCCACAACGTGTGGTTACACTGTATGCACTTGCAATGTGCACCATATGAAATGGTTAAAGAACCCATATTGTACACATTTTGTCTGTGAAGCCTACTGTACAGAGTAGCTTTGCATCATTTGCAACGGGAAAAAAAACTCCTTATTTATTTTATACTGGCACACTGTTCAAACACTCATTTCATCCTCTGCCTTAAACTATTCCCATGTGGGCATGTACGATGTAGCTGTTTGTCAGGAGGCTAAAAGAGAAATGGAGAGACAAAGAAAAATAGGCTATATAACAAAAAACTAACATAAATAAAAGTAATTTCTTGTGAACTTTTTTGTATACTATGTTGCCAGTACATTGTGTGTTGAAAGCAATCATCTGAATACTTTTTTAGTGCAGCTGTGAGACTTGGAAAAGGATTAGTTCCTCATTCTTTAGTTAAACAAAAACAGGAGTGACTAACTTCGTATTTCATTTTTGTTTCTTCCTCCTTTCAGCACTGAATGCCACAAAACTGAAGACAAGGTCAACCATGCCGTTTTAGCAGTTGGCTATGGACAGAAAAATGGCTCACCTTACTGGATAGTGAAGAACTCATGGGGAGGCAACTGGGGGATTGACGGGTAATGCTGCTGAATACTCAAATTTGAGAAATATTACAATTGTCAACATGCTCGGTAAAAATAAAAGCGTTGTTCTCTTTTGATAGATATTTCCTCATTGAACGTGGGAATAACATGTGCGGACTCGCTGCCTGCTCATCTTTCCCGGAGGTGTGATCTCTTAAGTGAGAGCAAACTACAAAAAGGGCTGAAAAGGGAGCAGAATCCTGACTTTTTTATTATAAATAATGACTTTTGTTTAACCAGTATCATGCTGTGTTTTGATTTACAGAATATTTTCACAATGGAAGAGACACTATGACATGATGAATCCAGATTAATTAAAATCTCAGAAATTCTAGCCTATAGCAACAATCATTCAATTCAATGCAGTTATACTTTCAAATAAAATTCTGTGTAATCGTTGTCTCTGTGTCTTTCATCAAAATATATTGCTGCTGGCAGAAATATGGCCACATATAGTATGATGACATGTTACTTTTACACAACTCTAGAAAAAGAGTAAATATTGACATTATTTTATTTCTGTAGGTCAGGTATTATTTACCAAATACACAAAAAGCGGTAGGCTAAAACATAGTAAAAATGGACATGACAAAAATTCAGCAGAGAAGAACTGCCCAGAATCATGTTATAGACGAAAGGCCTTATAAAGCTACATTGTGTAACACCTTTTTTTTAATTGATGGTGCGGGCAATAATTCTGCTTCAACAGCAGAATACATGTGATTAACAAGAGTTAGCTTTTTTAAAGCCTAGCCAACATTTCAAATTTTAGGAGCCACATCCTGCGATAGCTTTGGCTTTGGTCGTAACACCCTATCAAAACCTAACGGAGGAGGGGTGGCAGCAGGAAGTCTGGTGGCTGTTTTGCAGTCAGTAGGTAAGAAAGTGGTAGACAATAGAATCCTGATCGAAGCATGTGGTGTGGTGTGACTCATTGGGTATTTGTTATTGAAGGGCAATACATAGACCATCAACATAGAAGATGTTGTTGAACACAATTTGTCTGAAATTGAAAGTGAATCAACAATATTTTCACAAAAAAAACTCTAAGCCAATGTAGATCATTTTAAGAATTTTTTTAAAGTGTGGAGCTTCAGTAATGACTGTTTACAGTAGCCTACTGTGATGAATACAGTTCCTATTCTTGATTTATTCATTTGGCTTGACAACAAAGCCGTGCCTGTTCTTGCTGCTCAGTAATAAACTTGAATTTGAATTTATTTATTTTAATAGGGACAATGCAATTTAACATAATTTTAATACAAAGCATGAAACTGATGTGCTGCATAAAGAGTATATAGCTATTGCTAATTTCCAACTCGTGTCCCCGGTTGGGCCTTTGTGTAAACAAACAGATTAAAATGTACAACATTCAGTTACATTAAACCCCATAACACGATATGAGGATACATTAAAATACATGTACAACAATACAAATGCTTTAAACCAGTTAAAAATAAAGTTTGAAAATACTAATTAAAAGTGGGTACAGCTTGCTTTGAGCATTTCACCTGTTTTGTAAAAGATTTTAAGTCTGAGATTAATTTGATTTCAGGTGTTTAATGTGTTGCAGAGTTTGCAGCCTTTGATGGAGAAGGCTGATTGACCAAACGTAGATCTACAATGTTGTATTCTTCAGTTTCCACTCACAGTGCTCCTTGTTACCCTGTTTCCGTCCTGTCTTTGAACGCATCTGGAGAGAGGTTCAGGGGGCCAGATTGTTGATACATTTAAAAACAAGTTTGAGGAAACATAAATGCATAAAGCTCTCAAAACTGAGTAGATTGTGTTGTTTTCAGGATGTGACAGCGATGCCACCGGACAGGTTCTTTGTCCATTATTTTCAGGGCCTGGTTGTGTAGTGATGAGAGGTTTCTGATTGTAGAGGGGTGAAGCTTGTGACCAAACTGTCATACAGTATGAGAAATTAGAGAAAATCATTGAACGCATGAACACATGTGCTGCTTGAGTTGGTATGTAGTGTCTTATTAATTTAAAGCAGTTCAGGTTGCTCTTGATTGTTTTTGTGATTTTATTTACGCGTTTATCAAACTTGAGTTGCAAACCTGTGCGATCTTACTGTAGGTGCAGCAGGCCTTCCAGGAGCTGCCTCTGCAGCTGTGGCCACCGTCTGGGGAGCTGTAGCCTCACTGGCAAGCTCCATCTTCTGAGTTGATTACGACACCCATCTACAGCATTTAGCTTTTGCAAAGGTCATGGAAAATGTTTTAGTTTACTTACCAAACAGCTCTTTTTGCTACATGCTAAACAATGACTGATAGCCTTTTGGTTCAAAGTTAAGACAATTCAGTCATTTAATTCCATCCCTTTATACCCATTCAATTCATGCAGGTTAGATAGGCTTCATCATTTTATTCACACATGGCTTGAGGAACCTGCCCTACAGGTAAGAGGACAACACTCATTTTCCCAACCACAAAACTGGATTTTAACCGAGGCTGAGCATTAATGTGGCAAATACACCAAATAATTTATAAATTGTTTTTTTTTTTTAATTGAGGTGTTATCACGAGAAATAAGAATTGCTGTGTTTTGTTACCTGAAAAAGCCTTATACCCATAGACTGTAAATACCGCTATGTTTCTACAGTAGCCCAGTACGGACAAACCGGACACGGGCTGCGTACTGAGCCTTTAGAGATTGTAAAATATGTTGCAATCTGCAATCCAACCGCTACGTGTTGTTACATTACGTTTGACAGTGATTGGTTGACTAATAGTTTTTATTAGAAGGGGAATTTGATCAGCAGCTGATCCCCTTGTGACTCCTGATCTGCTTCACTTCTCTTTCACTCATTGTCTCCGCAGGAGCTTTGATGAGAGATCATCATGAACACTTCAGCTTCAGCTCTCCACCTGTCTGGACAAGGTAAGCTGCTACCTGCGACCGTCTTTTTAGTGCAGTAGTCGGCCTAAATTTAAAAATTCCAATTTTTTGTTATCCGTGTTTACTTGTTGCTTGCTTTCACTTTCATAATCTGTCATCGCTCAACTCTTGAGTTCATTTTTTTTATTGTTTAATTCTACGCATTGAAGTAATTTTTAAAATTATTAATTGTTTTCAGACGAGTTTCACTTCAAATCATGGATGGAGCAGGTATGAAACTTTCTTTGACGCACTTAATAAAGTAGGATACAGTAGGCCTACATACAGTACAGCCTTCAGGAATGAGGAAGTTATCTGCAATTAAAAAAAAATCACTGAAAGCCTGTTACTGAAATAATCTGCTGACTTGTAAGCAACATGATTACAACAGTATTATAAGTTTGTATGTTACATATGTTAACTAGCCATCTCCCACATGTGCAGCACAGCAAACAGTACAGCATGAAAGAGTACAACATGAGACTCCAGATATTCACTGAAAACAAGAGGCTGATTGAGAAACACAATGCAGGAAACCATTCCTTCTCAAGTAGGAAAAGCCTTTTTTTAATTTCTTTTTTTATTTAGAATAAGCTTCATAGTAAAAAAAATGTGTTTAACCTAAGCTTTCATGTCTTCCTGCAGTGGGGCTGAACCAGTTTTCAGACATGACATTAACTGAATTTCAAAAGCCTTTCTGTGGTCTGCGCCACAGGTACAGACATTTTATCCATTCATAGAGCAGTTACAAAAATATAAAAGGTGTTTTTTTTCTTCTGGACAGTTAGGGTACTTTTTTTTAATATGCTGCCTTCTACAGAACTGCTCTGCTACCAAGGGGAACTACCGCCGAAGCAACGGACCGTATCCGGACTCCATCGACTGGAGAAAGAAAGGAAACTATGTAACAGCTGTGAAGAATCAGGTAAAAGTTTAACTGCACACAAATCCACAAATACATTTTGCTTTCTGTAATTGTTCCCAGAAGTCATAGTGCATAATTGCTGGTGAATTCAAGAGAGGCTACTCAAAATTACCACAAATATTTTTTAATTCATTGTTATTTACTTTTGCATATTGTGCTCACAATGCAATGTTTATGGAGAATATAATGACACAGTGTTTGAAAGGCGTCTAAAAAGCTGATTTTCTGGAGCACAGTAACTGAACATTTCCTGTGTAATCTCGTCATAGGTGCAGCAGGCCTGTCAGGATCTGCCTCTGAAGATCTGAAACAAGTCAGAGAAATATCAATTTTTATTAATAAAGCACATCATCACAGTTAAGCTCATTGTGCTTTAAATTGAGGTAAAAATAAAAAAAATTGACCAACATGAAAATATTAAGGAGATCAGAAGGAGGTCAATATATTTATATATTTTTTTAATTTCTATTTTAAGCTTTTCTCACAACACTGTATTTGGCCAATAGATACTCATTTTTTGACTCAAAGTTGCAGGTTTCATTCAGTTTTCAGTCATCCATCTATATCAACATTTATAATGAATAGTTTCTTCCAAGAAAAAGTCCTACATTACGTAAATGGGATCTTTTACTTATAAATGAATGTTGTACTTTAGAGCTAACATGAATTTGTCTTGCCTTTATTGGAAATGACAATGGATTAGGAAACCAGGGAGAGAGATCGGGTAATGACAGTTTAATAATAAAAATCCATTGAAGTTGCTCATGTGAAAGAAGGCCATCAAAAGCCATGCATTTAGTAGAAAACAGCGTTAGAATCACTGTACACTGTGGTCACCACTCTGTGTAAAAGGGTTAAATACATCCTGGATAAAACCGCATTGCTACTGCAAGGGTACATTTCCACAGTTCTTTCAAGCTATTACAATATTTCTAATGTCAGACTTTCCATTAGTCTTTAAAATGTACAATAACTACAGTGATCATTAAGCTAAAGTAAATATTACTTTGGTTGTTATTAAACAAAATACAAAAATGAAAACCATTACGCCCTCCCCCATCCTCAAGTCCAACCTCGCACATTCAATATAACCATAACCTGTTGGAGCACAGGGTGTTAACGTCAACCAATGAATCTTTATTTGTACAGCGACAAGTCATGATCTCGAAACACTTTAAAAAAAAAGTGTCGGTTACTCATTGTTATATCATCTACCCAACATTAATCCATCGTGAGCACAGCACTTTGCAACATTTAAAAAAAGTTAGAGTGGCAGGGAAAAACTTCCTTAAGAGGCAGAAACCTCGAGCAGAGTCATGATGAACAGCCATCTGCCGAAACTGTGTTGGGCTTGGAAAGTGGGATAGATAGAGATGTAGAAAGAGAGAGAAGGATCGAGACACAGAGAACAACAACAACAACAACAACAGTGAATAAGAGATTTAAAGATACATCAGTTATAATGTTAAAAGTATGTGTAGTTTTGGGAGTAACAACTACTAAGTATGATCATAAACTGATTTTCAATCAGGAGAGACTTAATTGAGAATGGACAATTATTGATTTACAATAAATGTGCAACAATTCAATTTTGAATGTGCAAAGTCTTTGGGGGATTAGACTCCATCGTGACGACTTCTCACTCGGAAGGTAATGAAGCAGACAGCAGGTTTAGGAGACCCCCCTATGGAGTCTAGACACTGGTGGTGGTGAAGATGAATGGAGGCTGAGATGAGGAATTGGTATCCGAGCCTGATCTGGACTCTGCTGAGCTGGAATGGAGGTGACTGGGGTGGTGGTGGGTTACAGCGGTTGCACTGAAAAGACAGAAGGGCTGCGGAAGAGAGAGAACTGTTTTAGCCTTTTTGCTGCTGCAGGATGATTGGATGGGAGAGGTTGTGCCCAAATCTGATTGGTTGATCACTTGAAGAATAAACGTGACCCGCAAAAAGTCTCCCACAGAAACAGGCTCCTTTATTTTAATAAAATGTGGGGATATGATATTGTAGAAAAAGCGTTGCTTAAGTTTTATATGAAGTAATTTTAAAACGCTGTAACACTCTTCAAATCACTCAATTTATCCAGAAAATAATGTGCGTTAACGATAAAAGAAATAAAACGATGCCTAGTTCATTTTCTTTGTTTGTTATATCGTATCAGGTTTACGGTAGTAAATGCACGAAAGTTGTTGAAATATTTGTTGTTTTTCAAATAAAAAAAAGGCCTTTAAAAATATTAAGCTTATAATGAGCTACAAATAAACTTGTGATCTAATTCTCAAACTGGGTGACATGTTATTTATATATAGATACATTTTAAAAAGCAAATAGGCCGATAGTTATATTCCATCACTTTTCCACTGAGGCTCTTGTTAGTGGTGGTGACAGGAGTCTAAAAAAATCATGATATATTTGTCTCTCAAATAAAACGGATAAAAGTCATCTAACTTTGAAACGTGCTATTTAATGCACTCATTTTCGTCCATAGTCTATCCACTGATTGAAAAAAAGAGATCAAGCTTAATTTGAGCCACAAATTATGATTTTTATGCAAGTCTTGCACGATTAACAGAAAAGGTTGAGTAGTTCTGTTTCACTATAATAAATAGTTCTCTATGCTCGCTGGAGTTCATCTCCTATGGCATTTTGTTTTGAGCAGGTGCTGCGGGTTGAACTTCCCTCATAAGGTAAAGTGGCATTAGACTGTCCAAATGGCAGACTTATGTATTGGCTGCCAATTCAGCACATTGTCCCGGACTGCATGCTCGCACTCTCTGCGCTGTCTGAGGGAGACTTTCTCTTTTTTTCTTCTCCTTCTCCTCCTGCGCGCTGAACAGGCCTGAACTCAGCAGCGGCAGCCCCGTCACTATGCTGTCCATTAACATTTCTCAAGCCAATATTAGAAGCTGTCTGTAAAAAATGCTTCTTTTCGGTTAATTTAAATAGACTACTGATAGAAAAAAAAATCCAAAACATTATCATTAAGTATTTAGGAAAAAAATCCAACAGATTTCTCTTCTGAGCTAGAAATAAAATGCACCGGTAAATTAGGGCTTCAGATAATTTATTTTTTTAGATTTTCTGATATGATCAAGACAATCACATTTTCTGATGACGTCTCTCTCACGCTCTCACACAGCAGAGAGCGACCCGGTGCGATTTGTTGTGGTTCGAAAATAAACAAAGGCCAATCACGTTCGGGAACGACTTCAAAGGCAAGGTGAAGTGTGACGTCACGTCAGAATCTCATAGTTCTATGAGAGTCACATTTTAAACCTTTGAACTCAAAGGCATCATACTATCATCACAGAGAGATAAAGGGAAGGACTGGAGGATAAATACAGAAAGACAGACGGATAGTTCCTCCATTTTTGGCAACTTATCACAGGTCATGGCTTTCTTTTTAATTGGTTTACTCGTTACTAAAACTATGAGGAAACTCGTTGAGAAAATTTTGTCCCAGAAGAGGAAGATGCGGGCAATGCGGACCTGAGTGTCCCTGAACCTGACTCCCCTGCCAGCCAAGATGTTCATTCAGATAGCACGCCGAGTTCACCTGAAGCCCTAGTGGCAACAGTAGACTCCCCTGAAGGCCAAGATGTTCACTCAGATAGCACGCCGAGTTCACCTGAAGCCCTAGTGGCAACAGTAGACTCCCCTGAAGGCCAAGACGTTCATTTGGATAGCACGCCGTGTTCACCTGAAGCCCTAGTGGCAACAGTAGACTCCCCTGCCAGCCAAGATGTTCATTCAGATAGCACGCCGTGTTCACCTGAAGCCCTAGTGGCAACAGTAGACTCCCCTGAAGGCCAAGATGTTCATTTAGATAGCACGCCGTGTTCACCTGAAGCCCTAGTGGCAACAGTAGACTCCCCTGAAGGCCAAGATGTTCACTCAGATGGCACGCCGAGTTCACCTGAAGCCCTAGTGGCAACAGTAGACTCCCCTGCCAGCCAAGGTGTTCATTCAGATAGCACGTCGTATTCACCTGAAGCCCTAGTGGCAACAGTAGACTCCCCTGAAGGCCAAGATGCTCCTTTGGATATCCCAGCAGTTTCAGTCGTTGACACACTTAGCATGTCGTATTCATCTGAAAAGGAAAAGGATGAGTTCCCACTACCGTCATATCTATTTAACACTACCTGCTCAGACTCTTGCAAGTATTCAAAGGGATATAAGACTTGTTGGATGAATGCAATATTACGAGCTGTGCAAAACCTTTCCATTGTGAAGCGAAAATTGAAAGGTAGACCCAAAAATGATTTGGTAAGACTGTCAGAGACACCATTGTTTGCCAAGCTGTTTTTGGACAGCCTCTGTGACCCTGAGAGGAGTTTCAGTTTGACAGAAATCCATCCAGTTTTGAGAGAAGTGTGCTTAAAATCACAACCTTTTTACAATTTGGGGGATCAAAATCATCCACTTGACTTAATACAGTCTTTACTGTTGTGGCTGGACATGTGTGGGGTGCATTCAACAATTTACCTTAGCGGAAAAGACTGGTGTATTGACTGTGAATTCACTAAAGTATGCAGAGAAAGCCCAGGCCAGATCTACGTTTTACCACCAGTGGGTGCGCATAAGTCGATTTCCTCTCTTCTTACATTTGCAATCGAGGAAAGCGAAAGCGTGATGACGTGTCCCCGATGTGGCTCCCTTGTGATGGTAGAAAGAAACTGGAATTGCCTAGACATTGTAACCCTTTTCTTGACTCCATCCCCCTTAGATGCGTTTGAATGTAGTAAACCTGTGATCCCATCTCATTTTCTATATATTCCTGTAGACGACCGAACATCAGTGTTATACCGCCTGTCCTCTATCATTTGTCACAGCAGCAGTAAGGACGAATGGGGGCACCTTTGGACATACAGGTTTGATGACAATAATAACATGATAGGTCAAAATATGACATATGTTCCAAGAGGCAGAAGGGAAATTGACCACCATGCAGTGGTTTACTTTTATGAAAGGGTCACTAAGCCACTTAAGTAGCCTCAACACTCTGCGACAGACAAGCAAGGGTTTGGAGATGAATGAAGTGCTTTAACATATGAGAGCAGAACTTTTAAGCAGTGCTGCCTGTGAGTATAAGCAGACATGAGCGCAGAGTTATTTCCTCGTGGTGTGGGTTTTCTCCGGGTGCTCCGGTTTACTCCCACTGAAAACAAACATGTAAACATTCACAGTGCAGGGTGGAAAAATTATGTGAACCCCTAGGCTAATGACTTCTCCAAGAGCTAATTGGAGTCAGGAGTCAGCCAACCTGGTGTCCAATCAATGAGATGAGATTGGAGGTGTTGGTTAAAGCTGCCCTGCCCTATAAAAAACACACTCCTGCTTTGAGTTTGCTACTCTCAACAACCATTGCCTGATGTGAACCATGTCTTGCACAAAAGAGCTCTCAGAAGACCTATGACTTAAGCCCTAGAAGTGGCCGTCCTGTAAAGATGACTGCAAGAGCACAGCACAGAATGCTCAATGAAGTGATGAAGAATCCTAGAGTGTCAGCTAAAGACTTACACAAATCTCTGGCACATGCTAACATCTCTGTTGACAAATCTACGATACATAAAAACATTAAACAAGAATGGAGTTTATGGTGAGGCCACCACGGAGAAAGCCACTGCTGTCCAAGAAAAACATTGCTGCATGCTTGATGTTTGCAGAAGAGGACCTGGATGTTCCACAGCACTACTGGCAAAACATCCTGTGGACAGATGAAACCAAAGTTGAGTTGTTTGGAAGGAACACACAACACTATGTGTGGAGAAAAAAAGGCACAACACACCAACATCAAAACCTCATCCCAACTGTGAAGTATGGTGGAGGGGGCATCATGATTTGGGTCTGCTTTGCTGCATCAGGGCCTGGACAGATTGCTATCATCGACGGAAAAATGAATTCCCAAGTTTATCAAGACATTTTGCAGGAAAACTTAAGGCCATCTGTCCACCAACTGAAGCTCAACAGAAGATGGGTGATGCAACAGGACAACGACCCAAAGCACAGAAGTAAATCAACAACAGAATGGCTTCAACAGAAGAAAATACGCCTTCTGGAGTGGCCCAGTCAGAGTCCTGACCTCAACCCGATAGAGATGCTGTGGCATGACCTCAAGAGAGCGATTCACACCAGACATCCCAAGAATATTGCTGAACTGAAAAAGTTTTGTAAAGAGGAATGGTCCAAAATTCCTCCTGACCGTTGTACAGGTCTGATCTGCAACTACAGGAAACGTTTGGTTGAGGTTATTGCTGCCAAAGAAGGGTAAACCAGTTATTAAATCCAAGGGTTCACATACTTTTTCCACTCTGTACTGTGACTATTTACATGTTGTGTTCAATAAAAACATGAAAACATATAATTGTTTGTGTGGTATTAGTTTAAGCAGACTGTGTTTGTCTATTGTTGAGACTTAGATGAAGATCAGAACACATTTTATGACCAATTTAATCAGAAAACTATGAAAGGGTTGGCATACTTTTTCCTGCAACTGTATTTGGTTATGATTGTTTTGTGATGTACTTTTAAGTAAAATAAAAATGATTGGGGCAGCTCCATACTTTTTTGACTGGGGCAATGACTTATGAAGGGGTGACTTATGTGTGTGCAAACCCTTTAGTCATATCTACTTAAACTACTAAAGTATTGACAATATGTTTTGTTTCTATGCATTTTTTTTACTTCATTATATAAATCATCTGAGTCTTTCCATGCTGTCCCTGTTCTTATCTTAAGAAAATCACTTTTATCAGAGTAAGAAAGACATAATTCAGATCTGTTTCTTCCTCTGTTGCACGTGATTTGCCGATTAAGCTTTGCCCAGAGCAAAGAAGGATACCTGGAGATACATCTGACAATACAGTTGATTCTTTGCTAACTCAAAGGACATAAAATTAAAAGATTAAAGTGTTGTAGTTGTTCTTTTGGTTTCAGCCAATCAGAGTGCAGACTATTCAAAGTTTTATTCAATATGTTAAAACGTAATTCAATATATTCAGAGTTTCATTCAATATATTCAAAGTTTAATTCCATATATTCAAAGTTTCATTCAATATATTATTCTGAACTTCATTCAATATATTCAATATTTATATATATATATAATATATCACACACACACACACACACACACACATATATACATATAGATATATATATATATATTTGATGGAACTCTGTACTTCATGAGCACAGCACTTTGCAACAACAACAACAACAACAACAATGAATAAGATAGATTTAAAGATACATCAGTTATAATGTTAAAAGTATGTGTAGTTTTGGGAGTAACAACAAAGTATGATCATAAACTGATTTTATGTTAGGAATTACTGTATGTATTAGTGTAATATGTAGAAACAGCTCATCTACAAAAAAACTATGGAAATTCTCCATTAAGGAAACAGGCTTTTCATTTCCAGAGAACATATTTATCTTGTGTAACTATATGAAATAGTTTTGATGAATCGCTCAGACTAAACTGGTTCATCAGCTTGGAGGCAAACGCTTACATCTCAAATGTAAAAAATGTTTTTTTCATCTTCTGTATTTGTTGATCAGATGTATTTTGGCTGACTCTGACTCTTTACTGAAGTAAATTTATTACAAAACCCTAATCACAGAGAGAAGAATTGCTTTTTATGACGCACTGACTCTCCACTACGATCATTAAAAAAATAATGAATCCATCTCTGTAACTGTTGGAAAAAGTTAAATGGATTTTAGGCTACATTTTTGACAAGCTAAATGACATGCAGCAGAATAACTGGCACAACTCAACAATGATTGGATCAACTCTCATGAAATTTACACCAGCTAAGTTATAATAACCTTATTGATTCTTATTTCAGTTTGTGCTGATAAGCTAACATTAGCATGCTAGCTTGACGCTGAATGATAATCGTTGAAGCCTACATCCCACACACCAGCATGTTAGCGTTGTCATGATGAGCATGTTAGCATGTGGAGCGCGCAGCAACACTGAACCTAAGTTCAGCCTTTAAAGAGCTATTAGCACGTTGTTGAAACTGTTTTATTATAATTTTTTATTACTTTAATGAAATGGGAACAGCTTCTTCAGAAACAACAATCGATGAGATGGTTTATTTCAGATGCATTTCATTATGGTTAATAAAAGGACAGTTTAAGATGAGAATTTTCAAAGAGCTCAGAACCATCATTTTTATAGCGTCACATTCACTCAAATGGTGTCAAATCGATCATTTATCAGAGTCAATGAACTTCCTGAGTCAACACCAGGCAGCATCTTTTGCATTTCTTATACAATGTTTAGCTCGTTGTGTTCAGCAACCTCTTATGTTCACCTGAAAGATGCTTTATGCAGAGTGTGTATGGCAGATGCATGAAAAGTTAATTTAAATAAGATGATTAGATTGATCACAGAAACAGAAACAGTCACCTACAGGAATAGTTGTGTTATTTAAGAGTACACACAGCCTGTGTCCATGCTGTTTATCTTTAGGTTGAAGTGGTATTATTTTGGCTTTGGTTACAAATGGCTGATAGCATCCATCCTATTGCTCCTCCAAAGCTGGCTACATATCCACCTGCAAGCCATGTCAGACCAGTTGCACCTGCAGTGAGATGGCATAGAATTCAGGGTTATCAGACCATCCAATCCATTTTACACAGGCCTGCCTCTGAGTGAAGCTTTTAAAGTCCTGATTCAAATAAACTAATAAACTAAACTAATGCACATTTTTAATTGAGATCAATGTATATCTGCAGGGGACCAAAAGTAATTCTCAACCCTCGTACGGTGGCTGATAAGTGCAAAGCAAAATGACAAAATGTGAGACAAATTTACATTTTGAAAAACCTTTTTACATTTTTAGAAAACAAAATTACAAAACCAAAACATTTATACCAAGGAAAAAACACATTTACATTTTATAAAACAAATTTACAAGATGTGAAACACTTTAACAATCCCCAAACAAATTTACAAACGACAGAGTCTTGACAAAATGGGAATGTACCAAATGTCAGAAGTGATCGAGTGAGGGGTCTTTTTTTTTTTTTTTTGTCGCGGTACATTCCCCTTTCCGTCAAGATCCTGTCGTTTGTAAATTTGTTTGGGGACTGGTAAAAGTGTTTCACAGCTTGTAAATTTGTCTCAGCGATTGTGAAAGTGTTTCACATCTTGTAAATTTGTTTTGTCCTTGGTAAGTGTTTTTGGTTTTGTAATTTTGTTTCATAAAATGTAAAAATGTTTTCCAAAATGTAAATTTGTCTCACATTTTGTAAAAGTGTTTAACACTTTGTAATTTTGCTTTGCACTTCCCAGCCACCGTAGACACAGACCCAGAAGTGTTAACAGACATTAGAAATAACGATAGGCTAGAAGTAAACAGTGTGATGTCTTGTTTGCCTTTGTAGGTCATATAGAGGCATCAGTGTTCATTTCAGAGATATACATTGAGTCATTCACTCTTCATTCATTGGATGATTTTGCATTGTACCATTATCTTGAGGCTTATTGTTAACTTAAAATATACACACACACACACACACACACACACACACACACACACACACACACACATTCAGCCTACCTATTGATTGCAAAAATGCAAACACACTTCCTGCGTACACGATTCCCAACCATGACATTATTTTGGCAGCAATGGAGCCTGCTGCTATTCCACCTGAGGTGAAACCAAAGAGGGCCAGCAAAGCAGGTGTGAGGATCAGAGTCACAACTCCTCCTGACAAGAGCAGAAGAAACTGTCTTAAATGAAAAGAGTCAAACAAGAGAATTAACGTTAAATGTCTAAACGGTGTTTTCCATTTTTCTCACCTGCGCCTATGATGGCACCCTTACCTATTAATGAAACATAAAATAAAATTAAGAATCAGTTTCTTCACTCTGAGCTTCCCATGCTGAAAATATTTGCTAACATTTATTTGCTGACTTGTCGTTTTTATATATAAGAAATTATATTTTCATATCTCCACTCACTCTTAGCCACCTCTCTCAAAGCTATAATACTTTACAGTGAAGCATGTTTCTGGTTGGGGACCGAGTCGTTGCTCTTTAAAATGTTGTAGATAACTCCCTCGAATCTTTAGAAGGTAAGTGTCAATGTTTGAGAATAGTTTTTCAGGAGGGAATTTCAGATGTAGAAAAGGCCAAAGACTGCCTGAAGGCTCAAACACAAACAGAAAACACCAGTGTCAAGCTGATACCATTTTAAAGAAAGTTAAGAAAAAAGTTTTCACTGCTTAAAGGGATGTAGAAAGCATCTGGGAGGGGGTTTCTTTTTCTGATGGGGGAAAAAAAGACGAAACTGAGGACACCCTCTTTGCCTAAGTTGTGCATTCTGGGTATTTCTCCAAGAGAGTTCACCACCAACAAAGAGTGAGACTGTGTAGAGGTGTGTCTCTTACAAGCTAACAGAGAAATAGAATTGAAAAATGTGGAAAAAAACACAGACATGAACCAAAGCAGTGATTCCACAAAGTGGTGCCCGCGGCCCCTATGGGGGCCTGAGGTTATGACAGGGTGGAGGCAGAGACGATTCTAGAGTCTGTTGGGGCCTGAAGCAAAATCTCAGAGGGGGGCCACTCCAACAAGAGTTCATCACCATTAAAATAATCTGACACCAATGGTGACTTTAATTGACAAACTTAAGTTATCACAGGAATATTGTGACCTTAACGGTCAACGGTCAACTTAACGACCTTAACTGGTCCGTCTCCGCTCCGGTCCGGCAGCGGCGGTGATAGGTTTTCATTTTATTCAACGTGTGTGCTTCCACTGGGTCCGCTGCGCTGCGTCTCAGCTCCGTCCGAGCTCCGGCAGTCCGGTGCCCTCCGCAGCAGATACGTAGGTTTCTATTTTTGCCGGATGCCGGTGCCCGCCGCATCAATTTAGCACAGTAAAGAACAAGTGTGACGGGAAGTCAGACACCGATACAACATTAAAACATCCGGTTAATTTTCAGAAATAAAACACTCCGTTTTAACGGTTCAGAAAAATGACCGTTTGTGTGTTTATAAGGTTTATATAGAGTTTTATACCACATACATCGTATTATCTCGCACTGTCGCAAGTTAGTTTGTTTAATTATCGCGGGAATTCCTTTGCCTCGGCACTCCAGCTGACGGCTGTGCTCTCCGTGCTGCGGAGGGAGAACGCAGCCGGTGGGTGTTGACCAGTGGGAGCGCACTTTAGCTGTTCCCACAGTCTATGGTGTTGACGGACGAGGGTGCACGCAGCCGAAACGGACTGGAGCGGACACGCAATGCACACCTATCTGGTGGAAGTTCGATGTAAGCAGCACGCTGATCTGAGGTTTGTCAGATGGGGCTCTCTTTAATCGGTTTCCTACAGTCATTGCTAAATTTGCACATTCTGAGCCACTGCTGTGGTTTAAAGTTTGTCAGCCCTCAGGGGCCCCCTAATGGCCTGGGGCCCCAAGCAGTTGCCTGCCTTGCCTGTTAACAAGCAGCGCCTCTGGGTGGAGGCAAGGATAAATAAAATAATTCCACAATGTTGTGCACTGCCATCAAACATGGACATTTTTTTTAGAGGACTGCAGGTAAACACAGGCTGACAATGAATCCAGATGTCACAACTACTAATACAGAGAAAAGCAAACAGATGAGTCAAACAGATGAGTCATATCTCGCCCTCATCTTCACCTGTACAACAGGTAATAAAGAGAGCAGCATTCCTTCCTTTATTACACCCTGTATGAGATAGCTTTTTCCTGCAGTTTCCTCAATCAATACAGAATACAGATCAAAGTTGGACTGATGCATTAATGCATATTGATATGTTTTTTTGTCGATGTGATGTGTATGGGGATATATATATATATATACACACACACACACATATATATGGGCTACATATACATATATATATTTGATGGAACTCTGTACTTGCTGTCAGTCAAACTGGTGTATTATTATTATTGAAAAAAACAATAAAATAACTGTAAAAAATATATTTGCTGATGGAACAGAGTTGTCAAAAGAAAAATAAATACTCACAGATTTCTTCACGTACCTCATACATGTCATTACCTGTTCATGAAACACGCACACAAAAAACACATTAGTCATGCCTATATACCTGATTAAAGGAACGTAATAGTAAAAAAAAAGTACTCACAGATTTCTATAAGCGAACTAAAAAAGAGGTAAGTACCTGTTATTGAAACAAAAATAAAAAAACATCTTATTTAAATGCACACCTTTATTTTATTTAATGGAAAAAAAGTTACATGAATAAAAATAGGAAAAAATAACTTACAAAATCCTGCCATGTCAGCTTTGGAGACGACTGTCTTCTGTAGGCGTAACAATGTGAGCCAGCCACCTTAGGTACACAAATATGTATGTAAAACCTGTTGGAAAGTAGGGTGGGGAAACAGGTGTGTGCATTTCCTCCTTGTGAGGACAACCACCAGATTTATTTCTGAGAAACCTATTTATAAACCTGTCATGATTTGGTTTTGTATTTGAGTTTCCCCGTTTTATCCCAGTGTTGCTTGTTTGCCTTGTGTGTTAATGTTTCCTAGTGTTGATGGTTTCCTAGTTTTGTCTTCAGTGTTTTCTGTTTTATTTAGTCATTTATCATCCTTGTGTATCTCTGTGTTCTATTGTGTTTTGTTAGACTCTTGAGTTCTGTGTGTCTTTAGTGTTTCATAATTTGTTTTGTTTTGTCCTCAGTGTTTCTGGTCTTGTGTTTAGACTTTAGACTGTGAATTACGATTGAGTTCTCTGAATAAGGAACGAACACTTCCACAAAAAACTTGCATCCTGGGAGAGAGCCTCAAGCTGAGGTCTGAGGATTACGGAAGAGGATTAGGACCACTGAAAAAAAAAAAGTTTAGTTCTGACTTTAATCTCAGAATTCTGAGATTAAAGTCAGAATCCTAAAAAAAAAAAAAAAAGTGAGACATCGTTTTAACCAGTTGATTCTGAAAGTATTAATAGTGTCTGCAAAATCTAGGACTTCTAGGCCACCTTCTGCTTTACTGTTAGAAAGTATACTGCTTTTTTTAAGTTTATGTGGTTTGTTCTTCCATATAAAATCTAGAAAACTCCTGACTGAAATGGAGCATAGCATTAGCTCAGGCAGGCCACGGAGTCACGCTCTAGCCGGCCTACTTTTGCTGCTCCCTCTGCAAACTGCATTTGCAAGCCGTCGGTAAACACTCTTCTACTTACTCTGCTGCTCGTCATGTCGCTAGTGGTGGCTGATGGCTTAATTTCAGATTCATCAGCATTAGTAGTACTGTAAAAGAAACACTGGCGGTAACATTTCATTAAGTAATCTATTTCCTGATGGTAGTGCTGAGTGTCTTCACGTCGACTGTAGACAAATACAGTAAACAGTTGAACGTGTTATTATTGCATCACCAGAAATATGAAAGGCATTGAGAAAACCTAAAGGAGGAGCTGAGGAAATGTGGGGTTGAATAGACTGTACACATAGATTATGAACTAGTCTTTAAGATTAAGATTAAGATTTACTTTATTGATCCCGGCAAGGGGAAATTTCTGTTTTTACAGGCTGAAATATACACACATGCACAAACAGGATCCTATGGACATGCACTAATGGAGAGATGTGAGAGTGACGGAGCTGCACACGGCGGGCGCTCCTGAGCTGATGGTGGGGAGGGGGTTTGGTGCCTTGCTCAAGGGCACCTTGGCAGTGCTCAAGAAGTGATCTGGCACCTTTTACCGGGACTTAAACCGGCGACCCTCCGGTTCCCAACCCAGGTCCCTACAGACTGACCTACTGCCACCCCACATTTAAAATGTAGACTAAGTCTTGAGGAAGAAAAATCTAAAGCTATTTTTAAATTATTTTTTAAAAACTTAGGAATATGTTTTAAATATATAAATTATCTTAAATAATTTATATATTTAACATTTAAAAGTAGGCCTACTCTGGCCCACACTCGAGCATATGAGGTTGCCACCCGCCAAAAACGAAGAAGCCCGTTCACTTCCTAACACTACATTTCCCAGAATTCTCAGTCCTGCAACCTCGGCCAATGAGGAGTCAGTTTGTTGAACGGGCGCTAAATCTGTTGTTTGGGTATCCCTCATAGCCACATCCATGCTCGTGTCCCCGCTGAACACAACAGAGGTAATACGTCGTTAAGACGAGTACTAGTTTTGATGAACCTCGGTGTAAAACACACGACGAGACGGAGCAGGTGTCACACCTGGTGTCGAGAGCCATGCTGAGAACTGGTCACGACTTCGTCAACTGAGCTCTGGACTGCTAACCGGCTAACACTCGCTTTCTCCACTGTCTTACAACAATGACAAGTCTTCCACAAAATAACTTGAAAGAGCAGCTGGCAAGACACAGCAATGCTGCACAAAGCAAGCTGTCTCTCGCTAAACCAAAGGCGGGGTAAGTCTACCGTGAGCTGTTCATACAGCAGGGGAACAACCAGAGCTCAAAGCTAACAGTAAACCATTACTGTTAGCTTTGAGCTGTCAGAGCGGCTGCACACTCACCTGTGTTACCTGAGCTGCTGACACTAATCTGCCCTGCAAAGGCGAAAAGACCTGAACTCAGCCAGAGTGTAGAACTAAGAAAAATGACTTTAAAGTCCTTTTGTTGTGCAGCCAAATGAGTTGCAGGCAGAATATTGGAAATGTGGCAATTCTTTTGTTATTAATGTTCATAAAAAAAATATTTGGCTCAAACATGACCCTTGACCCTTATTTGGGAGGTTAAGGTACTCTGCCTTTTGCATTGCCTGTACAATAATAACGGGGTCATGCCAAGGCAAAGGGCATTAACTTCCATTTGATGCTGTATTTCACTTTGTTGCATTGTTAAAATAACACAACCAAACACTGTTTCTTTGCTACACTTTAGTCAAGCTACTGTGTGTGTCAGAAGTGTTTGATGACAGATATTAAAACAAAGACATAACACCTTAACTCCACTGCAGTGAAACAGTAACTTCACTTTGATCTGCAGTAAAACAACCGGCAGAAGACCGTAACTCAGTTTGAGTATTCCTGAATGCTGCAGTACAAAGACAAAGACCCTGATGAGTGAAGTTACTGCACTCTGCCTTGGTTTCTCCAGGGCTTTTGGAAGTTAAGGCAAATACAACCTACTATTTATTTTCTAAAAAAACAACAACAACACAATTGACTCAAGATATCTGTCCACATAATAAAGCAAATCTGTAATGTTCCAAAAATGAGAAAAACTAATTATTAAAAAAATTGAAGTTACTGCCTTTTGCCTTTGTTGGGCAGTACAAGTGTCTTTGCTGTTTTAGAAGGAGCCTCTTGCACCTTTAAATATCATTAACATGTTTAATCTCTCTTGAAGACAGTTTCTCTGGTCCCACAACCTGTATTGTTTTCCTCTGTGTGCCATTAGCTTTTATTTGTAAAAAATGCTGCATTATGATGTCCAAAATGGAGATGAATGCAGCCTTTAAGAGACAATGGAGACACTATCACTTCCACAGCATATCATCAGTGATTTTACACTGTGGCCTTACTTTACTAACTTGTCACCACAACTCTTTTTTTGCAGCCCGTGACTTCATATCAATCAATCAATCAAACTTTATTAATGTCTCACCTTTCAGACAAATTGAATTGCAGTTCAAAGTGCTTTACAAGAGTGCAGAAACGTTATTGACGAAAAGTAGTTTATAAAATCATTGAGAGACCAATGCACACCAATAAGAATTAAAAATAAAATATATGTATAAAAATTAAATACAATAAAATACGACACATAAAAGCAACAAGATATTAAAAGAAATACATAAGAGGAAAATATTTAGAATTGTAGTAGGATAAAAAGACAATACAGTAATTTTAAGATTTGAATTGATATAAAACACTATATAAAAGCCAGACTGAATAAATGAGTTTTAAGACTGCGTTTAAAAATCTCGATATTCTGGCCTCCTCTCGGAGCGTAACAGCTGAAAGCAGCATCGCCGAAGGTCTTTGTCCTGCTCTGTGGAACAACTAAGAGAGAGGAACTGGAGGATCTGAGGGACTGTACTGGTTCATAAACTAAAATCATATCTGATAGGTAGTCTGGTGCAAGGCCATGTAATGCTTTATAAACTAATAAAATAATTTTAAAATCAACATGAAAACTAACAGGCAGCCAGTGCAAAGATTTTAAAACAGGTGTGATGTGTGCTCTCCTTCTGGTCTTTGTCAGTACTCGTGCGGCAGACTTTTGTAGTAGCTGAAGCCGATTTGTTGTGTTTTTTGTTAGACCAGAAAGGAGAGCGTTACAATAGTCCAGTCTGCTAGTAATAAAAGCGTGCGTTAGTCTCTCTGTGAAGAATCAGAAGATTTTGGCCCGAGGCCTTGATTAAGATTGGCACATTATCTTATTTTCCTTTGCCATGTTAACAAGGGCTGAACAATATTCCTAAAATAGAAAATGTTCAGTAACATGCATGTTGTTTTTTTTAAATCTACAGCTTTTACTATTTTCCACATTTTTTTGTAAACTATGAAAAAAAAACGTATGCAAAGTTTTTGCAAACAAGCGGACTGTTGTTTAACCATTTAATGACCTGAGCTAAATGCAGAAAGCTTTTCCAAAAAAAATGAACCACGTTACAGGCTTGATTCTGAGAAAAAATAAATAATAAATAAAGTAGAAGGAAGAAATCAAAATATTTGATTTCCTTTTATTAAAGGGTTTCTTTAGCGAGCCTTTTGATTCTGATCTACAAAGTCTTACTATTTTTTCAACTATCTTCTAAAAAGCAAAACCTGTGGCCCACAATTTTGGCCCACAAGAAAAAAAGTTTGGACACCACTGGCTTATACTTATACTCAGCAGCAAAGGGCTGGGGGAAGTTTGGGCTTAGTAACAGGGTCCTTGTATGGGAAGGCCCTTACAAAGATTAATAGCTAAGTGCTTGGAGGGCCCCATAAAATGCCTATATATGGGGCCCAGACTTTTTAAGACTTGGGTTTACAGAATTATAGTTTGAAATTAAATTAGATTTAGGATAGCATAAAACAAAAAAGCACTATCCTGAAACTATTAATCTCAATTTGACTTATGAAGAAGCTATGTTATGGACTGTCAAATAAGGTTTTCATAATTTCACATTGCTTTTTTTTTTTTTAGGGCTTTTTCTTTTAAAAAGAAGACCTCGTCAGGTACCACCAAAGTTGAAATCCCAACCAAGGTAATCAGCACTAATCCTCTGGCAAACAGGAATGTCAATGTCCCTAACAGTTTGGTGACTAAATCTACTTTGGCATTTCCTAACAAGCTTGACGGATCTCAAACATCCAAAATCAACAACTTCTTCCCTGCAAACTCCAAAGCCAAGTCAGACTCCATCAACTCACCGGACTCCGTGCACCTGCAAGCCAGGCTCCTTCAATAGTGTCCACTATTACTAAATCTAAAAACCAGTTAATTAGTGGCACACGAGGCAATACCTCTTGTGGAGATGCATCTCTTGGATTTGGAATAGAGGACTGGGATGATTTTGATGACTTTGAAACTCCAAACAAAGCAAAACATGATTCATTCAGCCCAGGAACATCAGGAAAGAGCAATACTCCATTGCCATTTCTTAGTGAAGAAAAAAACAAATTCACAGTGGATCTGGACAGTTGTGCAGAGAAGAATGGCCTTTCCAGAAGGGAAAAATCTGGTTTGGAAACGGATGACCTTAAGCACAGTGTCGACAAAGCTTCACTTTCACCAGGACCTACTTTGAATAAGGACCCAGATGAGTTTGAACCTGAGGATTCTCCCATTAAAATGACCCGGAGACATCTTCCTGCTCCTCTCACGTCTGTCTTCAGTGATAGTGAAGAGGACAGTGATGCTGTGACAGAGCCTTCTAAAGTTACAGGTAACATGCTGTCTGTTTTACTGCTTACCTTCTTTGTATGTGTAGAGGAGACGAGGGTATGCAAGCATTGAGTTACTCATGCAGAATGCTTCTTTTGCCTTACAGACGAGAAGAAAAACTTGATTGACCCGATGGTAATAGAGCTTATTGACAACTCGGAATCAGAAGATGAACTTGATTACATTCCCCCATCTCCGATCCCGGATGACAATTCTTTCTCTTCTTTCCCACCTGAGACAAGGTCAGTTTTTAATGATTAAGTGTTTAACTGATATATGTGTCACGATGTAATACGCATCACAATGCTCTGCTATTTCTTACATAATTGACTGAAAACTTAAAAGATTCAGAACTTACTTTCCAATCTATTATAACATATGGTTATCACAACACATTACTTTAAAATGCACTGCAATTCAATTGTTTCAATGCAGAGGCAACAAAAATATATTTAAACAGAAGAAAACCAGGTGCTCTAACTGAAGGCTGCTAAACTCCAGGTAAAGCCAGATTCTCTTGAAGATGTCTTCATTTAATTTGTGCATTTATCGCATAAACATTAACAATCAGGAAGCTCGGAAGTGTCAAGACAGAATGGAAGGGAGGTCCACTCATACCACCAAGTGGCCGCATGATGAATTACAGCAGCATATATTTCCATAAATTGTCAGTTTCAATTTAAGAAATAAATTAAAGGAAAAGTTACATAAACGCAAATGTAAACCATGTTAACTAGACAAAAATGTTTATTTATTTCTACATACATATCAACATACATTTAAAAAACTTATAAACATACATGTAAATGTAAAATCATACATAAATGTACAGTGTTTCCCCGACCATTATATTAGGGGGATGGCCCGCCCCCCCAGTGGGCAGATTCCTTGGTGTTCATGGGTTACCTTAAGCCTTGTCGGTGTGTCGGCGTGTCGGCGTGTCGCCCCCCCCATGCTGTAAACCTAGGGGAAACACTGATATAAACATACATGCATATCTGAACACACTCGCATATACATATTATCATTAACCACCTCTATGAATAATCACATGTAACAACATTTTTTGACAACATAATAAGTTATCTAACAAATCAAGGGGGCAAGATATAATGGGAGAAATATTCTAAAATCTATACCCTCATTTAGGCCTGGGAGAATCATCGCATCAAATTGTGTTTAATGTTATAATTTAATTATTTAATGTCATAGAGGTGGCCCATAACTCGAAAGCTATTTATTCAAAATTAGAAAACATCGAACTGTGTACAAGTTTGCTGTCACTTTTCCCATGTGTGGATCTAGGAGTCAGCACTGCGTCTGTCTCTCTCCCTCTCTCTCTTTGATATGGTTTCAGGTATTATCTGTGTCTGTCACTGCCCAACTTGTTATAGTTACACGTTTCTCTGAGCTCAGATTAACCCAAGGCGCTTAAGAATGAAGAATTGTATTTTTGGATAGTACAGGGTTTATAACGGGCACATTGTTGTTTTCCAATGCTAATACCATATGCATTAATTAAATCTTTTCAACAAGTACGACGGTAGGTGTATATGGTTTTAGGTCTGGATATTAGAACGACTTTACTTTTAATGTCATGTATCTTTTTCTTTTCTAACAGGTCTAAATCAGCTGATGTGCAAAGCAGAGACAGTCTTGTGCACTTGAAAAGACCCTTGACAATCCTTAATAAACCCACTGATCAACAATCAAAAGACAAAACAAGTCAGTGTTATTCCTTTTTTTTAGATGTGTCCATTTTGTGCCTGTTTCCCATTTTTGTATAAAGTTGTTGTCTCATTCTTTTGAACACAGATGATCAACTCTTCAGTATCATGGAGTCCATCTGTGCTTTGGTTGATTCAATCCCTGAACATGAACTTATAGGTCTCGCTTGTGGAAGTGAGCTTCTGTTGAAACGGGCTCAAAGGTTTGTACAGTTGGGAACCGCTTTGATAATAATCTTGATATTTGATGATCCCTCAGTATTGTTGCAATAATCCGCCTTTGTCTCACAGGAAGAGGATTCTTGCAATTGGCGGGGACAGTTTTTTAAGGATGCAGCAGCCGACAGCACTGTGATTTCTGAACCCAACTTTAAAGACAAATATTTTAGACTTGAAACTTGTAATGCTATGTCCTCCAGCAGTTTTGCACCTGTGGATTCCAAGAAGCCTCCTCAGATCAGGAGGTCTTCATTAATGTCTGTGGACTACGACTCTGATAATTCTGTCAGTATTATCGGTGTAAAACCTGTAAAGAGTGCTGACAGCAGGGTAATGTATGTCGACAATGAGAGTATCTGTGACTCTCCGTCAATCCACAGCTTCACAAATCCGTATTTTAATCTCGCTGAGAAAACGGGAACAGATTTGGACGGTTCAGATCTCTTTTTCTCACCCAAGAAGCCAGACACTGTCATTCAGAGCAAACGTAGTGCCCCAGCAACCATTACAGCAGCAGAAGACCTCGAGCCAGATGACTTTTACAATGATGACTTTGACATAGACGATTTTAATGACTCAGATATCCCTGAATATTTTGAAAAACACGAAACCTTGACCTCAACCATAAAAGAGGGGGGACCAAGCAAGTCTTCCTTTGAGAGTAAATCTACAACACCTAAATCTGCACCCAAGCCTTCAAAGATGTGCTCCCCGGGTGAGTAAGCAGTGTGTGGAAAAATCTGGCTTGCCTAGTCTAAACTGATGGCAAATTACAATATTGTGTGTTAATTATTGTTGTACTAAGTTAAGCTTAGAAAGCGGTCACATTTGGTGAAAAGTGTGTGTGTGAAGTACTACTGTGTCTCTTTGTTAGACACTATTTTTTTCCAGTGATGCACTGCAGATGTAAATTAGCTTTAAGCTAACTCTCATATAATACATCAAAGGACCACACTTGTGTTTTATATCGTAAATGTACATTGTATGGTTTATTGAGTTGAGTAAGCTAATTCAAAAGGTGAACGTATCATTTTTTACTCTCTGTGGGTGACAGATTTATCTCAAAAACTGAGCAAATAATAATTGCTGGTTACAGTTTAATAATGATTCCCTCTGAAACAAGAAGAACTTCTTTGTAGGCTTTGATTAGCGTTCAGATATCAAAACACATCCTGGCTGTGAGAAGTTGATATGCTTCTTCTTGTTGCTGACTGGGTTTTAATTAATTTTTTTGTTGCAGAGCCAACCTACAGAAATCCGGCTCACGATCGCTTCAGAGGTTTTAACTTCCCCTACTCACAAGAAATGATGAAGATCTTTCACAAGCGTTTTGGTCTTCATCAATTCAGGTTCAATCAACTAGAAGCAATTAATGCATCACTTCAGGGAGAAGACACGTTTGTGCTGATGCCCACAGGTGAGTAATGATGAAACGTTAAAAACATTATTTGATCCTAACCAGGTGACACTAGATCTCTGATTTTAAAAAAGTCTACATTTCCGTGTCACTGATGTGTTTTAAGGTGGTGGAAAGAGTCTGTGCTACCAGCTGCCTGCCTGCCTGTCACAGGGAGTCACTGTGGTCATCTCCCCACTCAAATCACTCATAGTAGACCAGGTCCAGAAACTCACAACACTGGATGTAAGTATGTTTGCTCCTGACTGTCCAAAGGATCAGTAAGATTGTATGTTAAGTGTATTTGTTATTTAATAATTGTTGCACATTTTAGATCCCAGCAATAAGTCTGTCTGGTGGTAAAAGTGACAGTGAAGCAAGCAGGATCTACTTGCAGCTCTCCAGGAAAGACCCAATCATTAAACTGCTCTATGTCACTCCTGAAAAGGTGAGACATGGACAAGTTATGCCCTAAATGAAGAATACATGTGTTTTTTTTCTTGTTATCTTTTAAAACAAGTTACCACTAACTGTTTTGTACTCAATTTTGATTTCTCTTTTTCTCTCCTCAAGGTAAGTGCAAGTAACAAGCTGATCTCGGCCCTGCAGAATCTCTTCGAGCGAGGCCTACTAGCCCGGTTTGTCATCGATGAGGCCCATTGTGTCAGTCAGGTGTGTATCTCGGTGTGACACACAATCAACAGTATGCAATTGTTGTTTGTGCATCTGCTGTATGATCCTGTGACCTTGAATCTTCCAGTGGGGCCATGATTTCCGACCGGATTACAAGAGGTTGCACGAACTGCGTCAGAAGTTCCCCAGCGTGCCCATGATGGCTCTGACAGCCACCGCCACCCCTCGAGTTCAGAAAGACATCCTCAACCAGCTGAACATGACCCGACCGCAGGTGTACGTGCTCCGTCTCAGCCTCCGTCTCCCGATTTCTAAACGATGTCTGATGTGTTGTTGAATTCAAAATTGCAACCTCTGATATGCTTTCAGGTTCACCATGAGTTTCAACAGAACAAACCTGAAGTACTCCGTGCTGCCCAAGAAACCAAAGAAGGTTGACGAGGACTGCATCGCTTGGATCAAGAAACACTATCCACGTAAATAATCCAGAACTACTTTTTCTGATCCCAGTTCTTTTCAGTACTGTGCTGTAGCTGCACTGTTGAAATTCAACTCAGAACGCATTCTGAGGTCTGTCATATGTTAATAATGTTAAAAGCACAGAAGTGTATCAGTCTGCATTAAACAGTCCAGTGAATTATTTCATCTTTATTCAGACACATCATGTCAGAATGATCTTGTGTGATGATTGTGTGGCTTGCTGTTTATAAAATATTATTATTATAAGGCTTATTATAAATGATTAAGGATGCTTATAAACCGCTTCTGGATGTCCTCGCTGAATGACGTGCATCTCTGCTTGTTTAAAGGCGACTCCGGCATTGTGTACTGCCTCTCCCGTAAGGACTGTGATGCTATGGCCGAGAGTCTGCAGCGAGCTCGGATATTAGCTTTGTCGTATCACGCAGGCCTGAGCGACGGTGACAGAGAGTACGTGCAGAGCAAGTGGATCAATCAGGACGGCTGCCAGGTGAGATCACTCAATCCCTGAAATGTCATGAAGATAACTTATGAAATATACCGGGTTAAAAGGAATTGGCTTTATTTTCACAGTTGTTGTTTTTTTTTTAAATCATCTCCCAGGTCATCTGCGCCACCATAGCGTTCGGCATGGGCATTGATAAGCCTGATGTGCGCTATGTGATCCATGCTAGTCTGCCTAAGTCAGTGGAGGGTTACTATCAGGAGTCTGGACGAGCTGGCAGAGATGGAGAGATCTCTCACTGTATTCTCTTCTACTCATACGCAGACGTCCATCGCATCAAGAGGATTATCAGCTGTATGTGGAAAAAATATGAAGCCTTATTGTTTATTTCTGTGATTTAAAAAAAAAACAATTTCTCTGTCAATCCTCAAAAATATGCAATCATTTTAAAGCTCGTTATTTTCACCACAGTGGACAGAGAGGGTGACCGACACGCCAAGTCAACCCATTTTGACAACCTCCACAGCATGGTGCACTTCTGTGAGAACTTGATGGAGTGCAGAAGAATTCAGCTGCTCGCCTACTTTGGGGAGCTGAAATTTAACAAAAGCTTCTGTAAGGAGCACCCGGACGTCACGTGTGACAACTGCTGCAAACCCACCGTATGAACCTTTTTTAAAAAAATTTTAAATAATGCCTTTCTTCATTAAAAACTGTTCAGAAGCAACAATCATTCTGTGTGCAGCAATACAAGCTGAGAAATGTGACCGAGGACGTGAAGAAGATTGCAAGGTTTGTCCAGGACAACTGTGAGAAAGTTGGATCGAGGTTCGGCAAGACGGCTCAGAAAAACCGACTGACCCTGAATATGTTGGTGGATATCTTCATAGGTAAATAACATGCATTTCTGCAGCTGTAAATCATGCAGACATCATGCAGTGATTGATAATGTTGGCAAATGTTTATTTCTGCCAGGATCTAAATCTGCTAAGGTACAGACTGGAATGTTTGGGATGGGAGGAGCTTACTCCAGGCATAACGCTGACCGTCTCTTCAAAAAACTGGTTCTGGACAAAATCCTGGAGGAGGATCTCTACATCACCAATGGTGGCCAAGCTGTTTCTTATATCTCTGCTGGACCAAAAGCCATGAATGCCATTTCTGGAAACATGCAGGTAACTAAATATTTTCTACCTAGCAGCAGTAGTGGAGTGTAATTAATTATATTTACATTAGAAGTTATACTTTTACCCTTAGACGATGTAGTCCACTTGATTGTCTGGCAGCGTAGTTACTAGTAAAACACATTTGTCATGTTCCCTGTCAATTAAAAACTTCAAATGCTTTGATGTGAAATGCTTCGATGAAAAGGAGCAGATGTTATTTAACGGTTTTAGATTTTTTCTTACTTTAAAAATAAAATAAAAACTATTTAAAACCCCTTGGATAATCTTGGAAAAGCATTGCAGCAGGGCTGAAAACGGAGAGCCTGTGAAGTCATTGTTTAAATTTTTGTTGAAACTCAAGATGGTTAAAATGACTGCTGGGTATTTCCCATAACCTCACAATAAGATATGTCACTATACTTTGATTTGGATAATGACCATGTCCTACACAGAATTCATTACAACTGCTCTTCATTGTTTAGAGAAGCATAGTTTAAAGAATCCTACAATTTAAAACATTAGAAGTTAATTAAAAGATTCGGTACTTCACTTCTATGTTTTTTAAAAGGTGTTAGATAAATAAAGTTATTATTATTATTATAAATGTATTCAAATAGATCTAAATGAAAACAATAACACACTCTGGCACTTGTTTCCTCTCAGGTGGAGTTCTATGAGACAGAGAGTGCATCCAGCATCAGGAAACATAAAGCCTCTGTTGCCCAGAACGTGTCACAGAGAGATGAGAAGGTTCAGGAGTGTCTGAAAGAGCTGACGGATCTGTGCAAGCAGCTGGGCAAAGCTTTTAGCATCCACTATTACAACATCTTCTCCACTGCGACTGTAAAAAAGATAGCCGGTAAGTCGTGACCCGAGTTTTTTCTTTCAAATGCCAGAACAACTCGCATGATACAACGAGCGGTTTCTGAATTGTGAGTCTTTTTTTTTTTTTTCCCCACATGAACAGAGAAGCTTTCTTCTGATCCTGAAGTCCTCCTAACTATTGACGGTGTGACAGAAGACAAACTTGAAAAGTATGGAGCTGAAGTCATTCAGTCCTACAGAAATATGCGGAGTGGCAGCTGCCTGGTAGGAGACTTAACTTAAATTTGTATATTTAAGTTATTTAAGTTTCTGAATATAATGGTAGTTATATGACATTATCTGTGTAGCAGAGGAACAGGCGGACAATGGCGCAGACGGGTGGATAGACACAACACGGGGCCGCGCTGCTATAGATTATGATGATGACGACGACACAGAGTCCTCCAGCTACTTCCATAATAAAGCCCAACAGGGACAAAAGAGGAAGAAAGCCCCTTTCTTCAATTATTCAAAGAAGAAAAAATCATATGGCAACACGAGTACTAACTCTAAAGGGTATGTAGCAAGACACTTTATTTATTTTATGTGGAATCATGTTTAAACAAGTTTGGGAAGTCTAATGTCCTCCTTTCCTCTTTCTTCTGTCTTGCTGGGTTGTTTTGGATTCAGTCGTGGCTACAGCAGCAATAAATCCTGGTCATCATCCAGCACCAGAGGTGGATCAAAAGCTGCAGGCCGGGGCTCCAGGAGCTCAGTGGGAGATGCATCAGCATCAACAGGCAGGAGGCCGGGCTTCCTGTCTCTCCCGACCCCTCAGTCCAACCAGAGACCCTTCTTGAAACCAAGCTTCTCACACGTGGGCTAGAAACAGCCTCTGAGTAATGACTTCTAAAGATAGAAAACTACTTTTAAACTATAATTTCACACCTTTTAATTGTAAGTATTTAGATTTTACATCCCAGCTGTTTATTGGTACTGTTCAATATGTAAATTAATGTTCTGTACAGTGAGTGTATTTTGTATTTGTCAAAACTGTTGTAATATGATTTTGTACACACTTTTTTTTGTATTAAAGACAAATGATATTTACTTTCTGGTTTACTTTAACTGTATCGCTCAGTTTGTGCTGTACGACAAAGCCACTGGGAGTCGCATCACGTTTGTATTCAATGTTTATTTCAAGTTTGAATAGTATCATTTAATGGCACCAGTTACAAGGGACTACTGGAGAGAAACAATATTTTATACTGACTTGTACAGAAGGTTTCCTACAGTACAAACATCGGGTTCGGAATGGATCAGACTCAACAAGGACTGGATTTGGCACATGGATTAATATATATATTCAAATACTTGTATATATAACGTAATGAAACAGCAGTCTTCCATCCTAGGAGAGAACTATGAGGACAAGATAACACACCACCAGTCGTGGATATGCTAATACACTTATTGATGTGTATGAACGGTCGTGTGAGGGTCTGTACTGGGAGCTAGCGGGGGGGGGCAGAAAACAGTTAAAGATATTTTCAGTAATGCATTTTTTTTTTCCATCTACAAACCCCTCAGTTCTTTATGCATCACCCACATTAATGTGAAAGGCGAGTTAGCCAGTGATTACATTTAAGTAACCCATTTTGTATACATATCAGATTTCAATCATGAACATGTGTTGGTTGTTCTTTTAATCACAGATGTCAACAAAATCCCTTTAAAAGGAGGTTTTTTTTTAGGGCAGCCCATTTCATATATCTTTTGGTGTTTGAACCTTTTATTAGAATATCTGATGATTGCAAACAAATGGAGAAGACAAACACCCCCACCTTGCAGTACATTTCAGTCCAAATCAAAAATCCCATCTCAGAAATGACTTTTATCATCTAAATGGTGCCGCATCAGTAAAAAAAAAAACAAGTTTCCCTTGTGTTGAATTTGCCGCTTAGTAGTTGTACTGAGGTATACAATATCTATCTGTCTGTCGACCCTTTGTGCAAACTTAGGTTTTAACCCAAGAATCATCTTTGTACCTTCATGGTCTTACCATCTCTGCTGCTGCTTTTCAGGGACTGCAAAGCTGTCTAGCTAAACCCTGGATGACATGCTCAATCAGAATGTATACATACTGTACCCATCTCCTACGAGGTAAAAGAGCTGTAACGATGTAAACATGGCACAACAACTGAAAAGTACAAAATAAAGTCAGGTTTGTGACAGAAAACATGCCTGCAAAGACTAATTAAGACAAACTGTTGGCTGCCCAATGTACATTACAGTTTTCTGGCACTCAAACACTATCCCCCCTTCCCCCCCTCTCACTTGGCCAAGGAGAGAAAAGGATGGTGCAGTCTGTAAAGTTGTTGGGGATGTTCTGTCTTTTTATCCATTCCTTTATTTTTGCCACTTTGGTAGACTGCAGCTGTAGGATCCAGTCATTGGAAGCAATCCGTCTCTTAAACAATGAAACAGCAGAAAAAAAAAACATCCACACAAAGAGGTCTCTGAGGGAAATCTTTAAAAAAAAAAACAAAAAAAAACATTAACAATAAATGCAATGATACCTAAGTGTCTCAGTGGTCACATCGTCATTCAAGTCAGTACATTGACAATTTATTAAGAGGTTTTTTCGAGAGACTGACATGGTTGACTTCCTTGTTGGATTTTTTTAAAACAAGTTAGTAAATCACATCATTTTGCTCTGCTTTGCAACTGATTATTGCTTACTGAATAATGCTGCCTTTTTTTCTTCCTGTTGCATGTTCAGAGAGACCACTGAAGCTACATAATGCTGATAAATGTATGAGAAAAGCCTTTGCAGACCTTTAAAAGGATGCCCTGCTCAAATTCAGTCTGACTGTATCAGTAAATAAGTAAAACATGTAACGTATGATTGTACAGAAAAAACAAAAGTCTGCCCACCAGCCCTGCTCCAGTTTGGATAAATGTGCCTTCTCTTTGCAGCTGCGATTACGTAGTTGAATCAAAGTTGAATTTTCGCCCCCCCACAGATTTAGAATAAGCTCCAACAGCACATGTATGAAGGGTTTCTTGCCAACATAGTTCTATAATTTGATATACCCTCAAGCCTAATGCTGCTTCCTTAACTGTGGTTTGTAAGGGATAATGAGCTACAGAAGTGGATCCAGCCACAACACACTATTAGTGCATGCTACTCTGTGGTCAGGACTATGACTTAGCCAAGAACCAACACGCTCAGATTGCACGGGAGCAAAAAAAAGAAAGTAGCACCATCGGGCTTTAGAGCAGCTGCAGGTGCTGGTTTTCAGAGTGTGGCGTTTAAATTAGCAGGCCAAATACGAGCAACCTGTACAGCCATTATAGAAATGGGTCACCAAGTGCCTGCCATTCCTTATTTGTATTTTAAAATCTCACTGTTAAAGCAGCAGACCTTTGAACTTCAATTGAAGGCCTCTGATATCCTTCAGTCTTTTATTCTCTCTCTCATTTCCCTTGAAGTCTTTTTTCTACTTTTAAAAGTTGAAAAAAATGGACTGCTCACTGTCTGACTCTCTACCACTTACACTTTGAAACATGTTTTCATTCCTACATTCAGGCACACTAACACTTGCACCTGCACTTGGTACAGGAGAAAGACACGCAAAACACAAACAAAAAGAGATTTTACCCAGCACCCAGTCCAGCACCCATGATAGTTATTGCTCCCTGGAGCCGTGAGACTGACGAGCCTAGAGCCTGACTGACAAATGTCACACCCAACTATTAAATTATCATAGACACACTGGCATCTGCTTTTATTTGGATGATTTAAAAACTAATAGAAACAGTAAATGAAAATAATTTTGAAAAATTGCATGAGGCTTAGAAAAAGTCATGAAATACTTTTAGTTTCTTGAAACAGGCCTGGATGTAAATATCTTCCAAAAAAATAAATTATTTCCAGGCCCATTAAATCATTTTTGATCAGGACAGCAGACAACATCTCATTTCCTTATCGACTCATCTGCAGAATAATTTCTAGAGAAGTCCAGTAATATTTACAGCTTTACAGATATTTTATAACCCTAACATTGCAGGACTAGATTTTTTTTTTTCCACTTAAAATATGTTGAACAATTGTTTGTCAAGGTAACTGCAAATTGAATGTATTCACACATTTTTGTAGCTGTATATTAGTTGCATATGTTTTGGAATACATTTCATTGTGAAGACTGTCCGCCAAGCAGCAGGACAATCCAGATCCAGTAACTGGTAGGCCCATAGTCCCCTCTGCAGGCTCTCAAGTTAAAAAAAGGTATAGCTATCTGAATGTTGACAATGTGTTTGTGGATATTTTGGTATTTGTGATGGTTGATGAAATCCCCGTGTTTGATATGATCATTAAAACCGAGTACATACTGTACTAAAGATGTATTCACTGCTGGTGGTGCAATGACAGGTGTGGTCAGTGTTGAGTGGATCTGGATAAAAACCCTGTTTTTCAGTCCCCCCCCCTCCCCCTCCCCCTCCACATTTCCATAAATGCTTCTGACCTCACTTGAAACACAGCACTAAAAAAGGTATAATTTAATCTTCAATAACAAAATAACATTTCAGTTCTGTTAAAATATACATGAAAAACCTGTCAATATATATTAGGAAACAAACTAATTTGTACAAAAAGTACATCATCATTCTTAATCTAATTCTATGATACATGAACAGAAGAACGAGGTTGATATGAAACCAAAACAAATCATACACTCTTCATATAGAACTTGTTGAAACTCTGTGAATTTCAACCTCATGAAAAATGCAAATCATATGAATTGGAGAAAAAAGAGAACTGAACAAATGAGCACATTCAAAAGTAATTATTGAAACCGTAAGAGCGTTGCTCCTCTACCTAGACTACCTTCTAATGGTGTCAGTGTATTGTTGTTCGTCAGGAATATGTCTCTGACACCGCTGGGCCACATATCACTGTCAGTACTGATTTTTATTTTCTGTAAGCTTATAAAATGTAAGAAAAGACAACTTAAATCCTCATCTGTTTACTTACAATCTACAAAATTCTATATTGCCAACATTTCTCAAGAAAGGCATTTGATAATCCCCCTGTCTGTTTCCTTATCATGAACCTTCACTCTTATTGCCTTCAGATAGTTCTGCTTTCCCTCATTAGCTGAATCTGCCGTCTCTCTTGTTTTGATAGGGATGAATCCTATCCAAAGATATCACTCTGCTTCACCTCACATGTACATTACAGCAGTCGGCCTATCGTTTCCAACGTAACAAACTTCCATCTTAACTTCAAGAACACTCCTCAATTACTCTCTATCTTCTCTTCTCCTCTCGTATGCAAATATATGTTTCAAATAAATAATAAACAATTGCAACATCTGTTGCAAATAAAAATCTTCCATTCCTGTAAAAGGAACTTTTCAAAAATTCTTCAATTCTTTGATTTCTTTTTTTTTTTTTTTTTTTTTTTTACTTTGTGTTATTTGAAAAAATAAAATACCTGAAATGACTTGAAATAAAAGAAAAGCAAAAAACACCTCGTGGCATTGTTAAAAAAAAAAAAAAAAACGCAAGCAAAAAGTGGAGGTGGTTGGTTTGGGTGGGAGGGTTAACTCAAAGTGGAGGAGGAGGAGGAGGAGGAGGAGGAGGAGAGAGAGCCTGGCCCGGTTTGTTACCAAGAGTGGTCCGAGCTGTTTGTCTGCAGGAGGATGATGGGAGAAGCAGGGTTCATGGGTTTGCCGAAGCTGCCCTCCATCACTCCGGAGTCCTAACCGTCTTTCCAGACCCAACGAACGGGCTTACGAACTTTACGACCTCACTCTCACTTGTTAATGAGCAACCCGCCCACCCAGCGGAGCTTGCAGGCAAACCACCGCCTGAGGGGACAAAAGTATTCATAATGGAACTGCTCAAACTCGGGTGTCTGGCGGATATCACGTAAAAATGCAATGTCAAGGTCTGACTCTGTGAGGATGATGAGGAGGAGGAGCAAGACAAAGAGGAGTCCAATGGTCACAAGCAGCAAACGGAGGACACTTAAGACAAATTTATTCACCTGTTCCACCTCGCTGAGGGACAAGTCCCCCCCTGCACCCTCCTGTGCACCACCAAAATCACCCACTTCCCCACGCATGGGGGTGCCCGCCTCCGACTCCTTCTCCTCCTCGATGCTGCAGGGCGCCCCGTTAATCTGCCGAGAGACAGCCTGCTCCATGCTGTGGTCGGCCACGGGCGTGGGCAGGACACTGTCGGAGGGGCTGTAGGCCTCGTCTGAGATCACCGCCGTGCGCTCGCTGCCAACTGTGGCCTGGCTCCGGGAGCGTGGCATGAACGATTCCCCGTGGGACACTGAACGCACCGGTGTGGAGTGGGCACTGTCACGCAATGACTCCAGACCTGGTGGAGTGGGTGAGGGAGGAAAAAAAGGGAAACAGAGAAGAAGGAAAGAATATCACACACATGATAAAAGAAAAGCTGACACTCTAAACCGCAGAATTTGACTTCCATTTGTCAAAGAGGTCTTATGGAGAAGACAGACATGTCGACTCCACTGGAGAGCAGAAATCTCATCATGTTTCCCCAGAGTCAAGCACACAGACGGGAGCGTTGTCATTGTACAGCTGGGCAGACATGACGTCAAATAATCATCTGTAACTGAACAAAACTTCTTGTTCCACTAAAGGTGTAAAGCTAATTCAACAGCAAAAATACAATTTAATTTACAAAATAAATCAAGCTGGGATTCTAGACAGAACCTCATCGCTTCAAAATACTTAAAATCCCAACCACAAGGCTTATTCTTCAATTCTGTCTAAAAACTGTCTACTATTCTTAGCAGCTTCGGGCCAAAACTCTAAGTGTCATACTCTTATCATCCTTTTTATTTAAGCTTATTTGATCCTGCCAAGATTCATCAGACCATGAGTGTAAAAAGGAACACAATCTTTATTTCCTCTTGGATCAAACCTTTCATTACAGTAAAGAAACATGTCATATGTACCTTAGTAAAGGAAAAGTCCTTCTGATACGTATATGTTTATGGATTAAAACTAATAACTAGTCTGTTTTAAAGCTTCTCTCAGCATTATGAACAACTAAAACACAAATCAGTTGTCTCCATTGGATTGATGTCAAAACAAGAGGAGCCATTAAACAGTCAGGTCAATGACTTGCAACATCGCCCACAATGGTCTTAGGCAACAGTCTGTACATAAACAGAGAACAGTAACTACCTTAGTGAAACATCTTGATCAATTCTGAAATGTACACAACCAAAAATATTCAACTATGCAAAAGCTTCAAGGTAAGGTGAGTATAGGCTACTGTAACTGAACAACTGTACTGTACAGTATGTGAGCCTCTCACTACTTTGTACATGTCAGAGGAGATGAGCTGTGGTTGAGCCCTCTGCTGACGATATCACATTCTCAGGAGGATCAAAGTAGCAACATTACTCCTTCACTAAACAGAGAGGAGGATTAAACTTCAGCTTTTGATGAGGAAGCAAATCAAGAACAGGACTTTAGTCAAACATGCAGGGAAAGTGGGATGGATTAAGTCCACTGTCTAAGCCTCTGGCGTCATCAGACTCCTGGCAGGGATATAAAACGAAGCAAAGAGGCTGGATGAGTGTCAGCCGCCATCTTTTCTTACTGTTGATCTGCCTCTGATTATTTTAACTCAGGTAAACAGCAGTGAGGGAGCAAGCAGGAAGGCATTGTTTCAATTTGTATTTAAATTATAGTTTTCAATCCATTTATTTCCTTGTACTTATATCTGTTTATTTTCTTCCTGTTTTGTTGTTGTTTGTTTTTCTTTTTTGATGCTGAATTTTAGTTTAATGAAAAAACAGTCTGATTAAAAAAGTGTCTAATTAACATGAGTGTTTTCTTTTACAAAACGCTAAAACACCAGAACAAGACCATATATTTCAACAGCTGTCTTATCACAGTGTTCTTGCTGAAACCATAAATAGCTGCTGATATTTAAAGAGTCCTCAATTCTAAATCAACAAAAGCACAAAGAAGTCAAAATCAAAATGCCTCTCTGTCTGCCAACAGACACAAAAGACCACCTCCGCCTGCCAAGCCCGATGTGACTGATCTAAAATAGAGAGCGCCGTTGGCACCTTCTTGTAAAGCTCAACCCTGGCTTCCTCGGTGACTTTACCTGGAGGGTTGCTGGGCTGAAGGCAAGGCAGCGGAGTGCCAGGAAGAGGAGAGGCGCTGGCGGACTCCTGCTGCCCTGTCAGGGCCGGATAGAGGGGCAAGACACCCAGGGCCTTGCCCAGCATACGAGGCCCTAGGCTCAGCACGCGAACCTTCACATCCCGGTAGCAGTGGTTGATCATACGCAGGTGGACATTCACCCTGGTGGTGATACGGATCAGACACTTCACCATGGCTGCAGCATGCACGCGTGTATCCCGTTATTATGGTCCCTGTCCCGGAGTCCAGGCCACAGTCTCACAGAGTGTGTAAGGCCGACAAGTTCTGCCTTAGTTGCAGATCGCAGGGGAAGATTGTGTGAGGTAACACCATGGTGTTCTGCAGCAGTGCTACGATTGCATGGATTGGCCTGGCCTTGTTTGGCCCCACCCAGGCCAGTGACATACATGGAGCAGAAGACCCAGGCTATTTTCAGCAGAGGTATTAATACCACTGTAAGAGACCCAGTCAGCACACACTGGGGGTGGGAAGCTGTTATGGTTCTTTAGAACTCAAAGCAAAAGACCCTTGAAGTGCGACTGCCTCTTAACTTCATTTATCGCAGAGTACAAAGAGTCACAGTTTGTGTTTGAAGGGCAGGACCAGAGGGTCTCACTGCTGCCATGCAGGGCGCTACACCTGCTGCGTCTGTCTCAGTAAGAAAGGAAGTGAGGCCACCTGTTCTGGGCCAAGAGCCTGCAGGTGGGCTGAATAAGTGACTTTAGCTGCCACTGTGTTGGAACAACTCATACATTTTGCTCTTATACTTACCCAGCCCTACAACCAAGCACTGAAGTGAAGTAGGCTGACTGACGCACACACCTGCAGCATGCCCAGCCAGCCCTGAAATCATGAACTGGGCCAAATGGCTCTAGTTACAGCGTGTGTGTGTGTGTGTGTGTGTGTGTGTGTGTGTGTTAGTGTATGCAAAAGACCCAGTAGAGACCCAGCATAGCTCTCAGGTATTTTTTTGTGATTCTGCTAACCATCTTTTTGTGTAATAACACATTACCCATTAATAAAAGCTGGAGAACTCTAAAGAAAACAAAATGTTTAGTAACAAGACAAATTTGCTTCTGTAACCAGTGAGGGATTTGTTGCTTTCTCCGGCCTGGTCAAGCGTGGCGATGCAGTCCTTACCTTCCATGATGGATATGTGCACCGCTCTCCGACGCGTGCGAGGTACACTGGTGAGGCGGGGCCCGTGGGTGATGGATGGACAACTTCTGCTAGGCACAAGGCCAGACCTGCAGAGACAAAAGATAAAGTACAAAAGCACAAACCATCACTGCACAGACGAACGGCTGCGAGTGGAGCTAACTCGCTAACTCATACTGTAGCCAAAACACTTCTACTAAAGTAGCTTGGTCCCGAAGAAAATGGATGAGCATTAAAGAAAAAAAGTGATTGGGAACATGCTGAGCTCTCCTGAGTGTACAACTCTACCTGTGTATTTCTGGAGGTTCGCGTTTGATTTTGGAACTCTGCTCCATCACCTCTTTTGCCACTCGTCCACTGTTATAAAGCACAGAGACGATGCTCATGATGAGTTTCGCATACACACATAGAAACAAACACACACACGCACACACACACACACACACACACACACACACACACACACATACCCAGGCAGTGTCATCCAATGCCATGAAATCCATCAGTGCAGTGGATAAGTGCAGTAAATGAGCATTGTGATTGAGTTAACCTGGTGAATCCAGCTTTATGTAACTGAATTACAACCAGTCAGACAAATGCACACACTGACTTGAATGCAAAAAATATCAAAACAATGATCATGGTTTTCCCTCCAACATCATCTAAATTAATCTGTACTTTCTCTTTTACTTCCAGTGCTCTTTAGCTATCCACAAGGTTTCCCTTTTCACTGTTAAGGTGTTGAGATGTACACATCCTCTCCAACTAGAAACATTTAATTCATGTAAAATAGTCCCAGTTAAAGATTCTAGTGCGGTATTTATGTATGGTAAAAATAAAGTAAAAAAACATTTAGAATAAAATTATTTTCACCAGGGTCAGAAATCTCAATAATGGATGTCTCAGTATTAATAAGCTTATTACAGAAAGTCATATAAAGTAATATATTTGATACATAAGTTGGTTGGGCTTCAGCTCATAAAAGATAATGTGATAATAAGTGATAATACTGGATGTTATAAGTCCCCTTTATTTCCCCCCCTCTGTGTCCTCTATCTTGTGAGTTGTCCTTGTTGTCATCTGGGTGAAAACAGGCTGATGTTACGGCACAGAAGGCCAAGTGGTCATGTACTCTGGGAGAATCTCTCTACACTTCCACCTGGGGGGGGGGGGGGGGGGGGGGGTTTCTCTGCACTGTCCTTCACTCCCTGTCATCAGTCATAATGTTTCAGTGGGTACTCTACCTGTATCGGAAACGGCTGCCCTTGAAGAACAGGTTGCTGCTGGACACAGTGCGAACCTGACTTGACTTCTCAAGTCTGATGAGAAGAAGGAAAGAAAAGAAAAAGTTAAAACTGCACTGCACCTAAAGCAGAACATGCTCACAATACAAAGCATTCAAATATTCAATATTTGCTTTCTGAATCCTATGAGACTGCAGGATCAAATACCATTCTACTGAATTATGCATGTCTTCTCCTTGCTCTATAGGCGCTGCACGGCCCCATACAGTATTCAGTATATTTATATTGTCATAGTAAGTGAGATATTAATGTTTAATGTTCCATTTTACTTTCAAGGAATATATGCGCTTCTCAGGAAGATATCATTATCACATGCCTGCTTGGATTTTGTCCCACTGAATCTTTATTGCAGATGTTAATAAGAGGGAGGCTGAAAATATATGATCTGCCACTTAGAGTCATTGAAAGGTCACATCATATAAGCTCTATCAATGATGCTGCTAAACTCTGCCCTTCCTGTCCCATCTGCTAACCTCCAGCATACATCCTTCACTGCCTGAGTCATCAGCTGGACTCATTATTACACTACTCCTGGGCCTCTGAGCTCACATGCTGTTTTTTTTTTTTTTTTTAAATCACCTTTACTGAGCAGGAGAGAACAAAGGGACTCGCACTTTTATTAATGGTTGGGACAGGGGAGCCATATCTCAGAGGGAAGGAGGCTGAAGTGCCTGCAGTCTCGTGCCGGCACACTCTCATTCAATAAAGGTCAGAGGCAACTCACACCTCATTTTCCCACTGACAGACAACCTAGAGGGAAGGGCTTTTGAGGACACGGAGTTACTGTACTGTGACAGTAACCTTCCCGAGAGCGCTCAAGGATGCAGAGAAGGTATGTAAATCATCATCGTTTGACAGATGAAGATGAGATGATGGAAGAAATGTGTAGACTCACTTATAGAAAGCTTGGTTCTCCACTCCGCACTTCCAAAGGTGCTTGCAAGCCTCTGGTGTGGGTGCAAAGTACGTCAAGATGATCTTTTTGTCCTGCACGTTTAAAATGAGAGAATGTGCAGGAAAATAAAACAAACTGAGACAGAAACCGCCCCCCCACCTCTCTCATTTACAAATGTCCAACATTTCCTGCTCTCACCTCCTTCTGATTTGCATATACATTGAAAGTCTTGCCTTCAAACTTCAGTTTGGTCACCTCGTTCCTGTACAAGATAGAGAGCATTGCAACAGTTACACACTTAAACAGCAAGCAGAAACAGAGAGCCACAGGCTCTTTAAATATTTATGACGAACACTTTGAGATCACATAAACAGCCACGGAAATCTGTGTTTGCCTGACAAAACAAATAACGGATATTATTCCCTGCAGACAGGGAATGGAGAGTGGGGGTGAACATGAGCACTGCTGAAGGTTAACCAAGAAAGGCTGAATAAAAACTGCAAAAATACGAAGTCTGACTTTATAAATGTCACAGGAACATTATCAGTTAAATACAAACAGAGAAAGTGTTGAATAGAAATGCATAATGTAAACATTTTCCATTCTTAATAAAGCATCTTGCTCACTTCGAATCAGAGAGCGTCTGATCAAGCAGAGGATATGAGTATCAAGCTATTGTCCTTGTAAGGAGTCTTGCTGGTTTAATTAGCCATCTGTTCTCATGTTAGCTGCAGGCTCTTGTCACAGGTAGAAGCAGATGGATGAGATTTGTTGACTGTGACTGTACAACCAGCTATACTGCAAATGCTGTTTCATAGAACAGCCTGCATATAAAGAGTCAAATCAGGTAAATGCTCGTTTATTTATCTACCCTTTTTATATCCTGAAGCACACAAGGGGTGTGCTGTCTTTGTCTCAAGTAGGAAAATGTTGCACATTTAGCTCACCATCTGAGAAAATGAACTCGCTTGTTTCCCTGAAGAACCACAAAACCAAACGGTGTGAAGGCAAGGAAGGCTGGGTTCCCAGACACATCCTGTAAAATGTAAAAAAGATATATGACTTTAAAGCACAGATTAAAAGTCAGGCATCCTGTACTGTACATCCTATGAGAATAAGTTTCACAGAACATTTTTTTTGTTTACTATCTAAAATAGCTCAGAAGCAAAACCTTGCATGGATGTGGATCAACACCATATGTCTCCAGCATCTGGGCTTTCTGTAGGAAATTTCTCTCTGATGTTTCAGGTGTCTGTCCGCTGAGAGGAGGCAACAACACACAGAACATCTGCGTCAGCACATTCTGAACATATAAAATGCAACATGAAAGTCAGAAAAGGCCAAATGCTTCTATGGGAAGCACAACAATTTGAATATCAATGATCGGACACTTCATCAATGCATAGAGACAGATGTTAAACCAGGTGAATAAAAGTATGGGATTATAATCTGATATTGTTTATATGAGCTTCAATTCTGTGCATAAGGTCTGACAAATCACAAGTATTCATGAAGTAGTGTGTTCACATGGTGGTGACGGAAAAAGAAACCACTAGTGGGCAGCAGAGACTCATGGCTTCCTCTCAAACTCCTGCAGCATCTTTCTGGACTTCTATTGCCCTCTATTTTGTGTTTTTTTTTTTTTTTACTTTGTTACAACCTGCATTGATTTTCAAACTCACATCACTGTTGCAAATTAACATTTGAGTAGGTGAAAGACAAATTTGAGTTCATTAAGGCCGAGCTGTCAGTGAGAGTTTCAGTGTGTTTTCCTGTGTGTGTTCCTGCATGATTCACATTATCTGTATGAACTCTCTCCCACAAACCATCCATGACACTAACTCTCTCCCCACCTTCAAATCACAGCTCAAAACACACCTTCTTAGATTAGCTTATTCTGTCCGACCACGCACTTCTTAATATTGCTGTTTTTGTTTTTATGTAGTAGATTGTGTTCTTGTTTTTACTTACTGTTTCACTGCCGTCTATAAGGTGACCTTGAATGATGTTTATTGTTCTTATTATTACTTTCATAAAATGCTATGCTTCTCTTCCAGATTATTTGGAGGCTATTGGACCCATCATTAACAACTGTAATAAAGGGCAGGTTTTGCTAGAGCTATTTGAGTTGATATTGGAGAAGAGAGTGCTGCTCAAATAAGCGAGTGTAATCTGTCGGGGGGGGGGGGGGGACAATTGAGACCAACAATGCTTCATTCCTGAAGTCAATTACATAAATGTCAGAGCTAGTCTGAGTTTGTTCAGCCAATGAGTGCAAATTCACAGGTATGAGAACAAAAAAAGAATTATAGTAGAGATGGCAATTCAATAACTCTGCTCTTACATCAGCTCTGTTTTGTGTAAATCGGCAATCCGACGCTCCAGCCTCTCCGAATGTTTAGGGAAGAACTGGAATTTGGAGCTGTAACCTTCAGGATGCTTCCCAGGGTCATAGTCACCAATCTCAGCTGGAGGAATGATCAGAAGAAAACATGAATGTTTACCATGTGCAAAAATTCTTCACAGCAAATAGTGTCAACATTGTTTTGAGCGAAGAGGTGCATTTGCTAAGGGGGACAAGCAGAACATGTCGGGGATTATTTCTGTTTCTTCACGCTACAACGCACTTCCTCAGATGACCCTGACGCTGATGTCTATCTGCAAGGAGGAGCTGACCAGGGAGCCCATCTTTAATTCATCAGCCCCTCCTCCTGAGGACCTGCCTCTCTTCAAACACAGAGCTATCTGTGATGCTAGCTCTGCCGGGCTACCTCATGTGTTGTTTCGTTTGTTTACATCTGTGCGTATGTATGTGTGTGTGTGTGTGGATGGAAGGATGATAAGATGGCAGATAACCACATCAAAGACTTTATAAATCAGTGCTAGCATTCTAATATTAATTCAAGGGTGTGCTGCTCTAATTAGCATACAAAGTACAGAATAACTATTCTGTTTCTACAAGTTATGGGGCTGATATCAGTAAGGAAAATCACATCAATGTGTTCCTAGATAATCTTATGTGTGGATAAAAAAAAAAAAACCCTGCAGGCATATTCTGTGAGGAACACCATTCTGTGTATTCTCACTATCACCTAATCCAGCTTGTTTCTCCTTGAAATCAATTTGCTTCGCAGGCAGTATTTATCCCGCTGGAGGTGAACAGGACACGCCAAGGCAGAGGTCACGAGCGCAGTGGAAGAAGAGTGGTGTAAGTCATTTCCATCTGTCACCTCCCATTACCTTGAAGGATGTGGGCAGCCAACATGGCTGCGTCCGAGGTTTTGCACAGGAGCCGACCGTGGTAGAGGTCTCTCTTAATTTGCAGGAAGACAAGATATCTAAAGAGGGAAAAGGCAAAAATCACAAATAATGTGACAGACCTGCTTGTATGATTACTGATTATATTTATGAATACCCTAAACCACTCATCCAGTTAGGTTTTTTTGGGGGGTGAAACACAGATGGAATAAAACAAGTTGGAGAAGAGAAACAACAAACCTGATAAGCCTCAAAGGCTGTACGGTTCTCGTTCCCTATGGGTGCTTTGAATATTTCTTTTTGATTTCGCTGAAATTAGGGTTTTGTTTGGGGGAAAGGAGGATAGGAAGGCCCTGAGGGAGTAGATGCTACTGACACTCTGTTTCTCTTAAAGGCTCCAGCCTAGTTTCAGTCTCCTCCAACCAATCAGCTCCCGATGCAGGAAATATTCTCTGAGACGACATCGGAAGCAAATATCCTGAAGGTAATGATTGCAACAATTACGATTATCATTACAGTTGTTGCTATTGTTGTGTTTAAGAACAACACACTCATTTGGATTCTTTGTTTACAAACCTCCAAATCTCTAACAGAAAATACATTTGTTTGATTGTTTTTCACAATCCTGCAGGCAGACCTGCATGCTTTTATCGAGGATATTTCCACACATGCTAAAAAAAAAACACTTTCTGTGTGTGAGATATGCATGAAGAAGCTGCTTACTTTGCACATGTTGTTCATACTAAAGCAGGTTCAAGCATAGACCATACATATTAATGGCCAAAGTGACATCACCCATCTGTTACTGCAACTTTCAGTCAACCTAACGACTAAGGCTAAGAGCTGGAGCTGAGGCAGGTTTTAAGCTTTAAGCCCTAACTATGCAGAACTCATATATCCTTCTTAAAATCAAAAGAGGAGTTGAAGACAATAACTTATCAGAACAAAATCGTTTTTTTTGTACCGCGGTGTAAACATGTTAAATTCTGCAACCTGAACTTCCTCTGATGGCCACTTGGCGCTGGCTCTAAAGACGAGTCAATCTCAATTATCCCCCATGTCAAAACTTTGCAGCAGAAATGAAAATGACAATAACCAAGCAAAAACACGCGTCGTTCATTTTTCCTCATGCAGCAACACGGAGGGGGGTGAACTAAGAAAAACATCTGCTTCGAATGCATACCTGACGGATAGTAATTCTATGGAAATGCTGCATGCTTTATGTGTTCTCTACAATTTTCATACTGCATTGATTTGCTGCACAAGATGTCAAGAGATTGAGCCTTGGGATGTGATTGATCATTTGCCCTCTCCCTCCCACCTTCCCCTCTCTGCTCTGCCCTCTCAACTCTCATCATCATCATGTATCACTCTCTCCCCCTCCTCACCTCCCCCTCACCCCAGCCAGCCTTGATTTGCCCTCTTTTCCTTCACACTCCCAATCATCCCCACCCTAACACAGCCTCTTATCTCTTCTCTCCGCTACTTCATCTCATTACACCTTAGAGAGAGAGAGAGAGAGAGAGAGAGGGAGAGAGAGAGAGGCCTCCATGCCCGCTACTCATTGATGAATACACGAGTAAATTGTATATGCACACATACAATGTAACAGCTTCCATTGCTGCCAGATAACGCAGAGTGTAGCAGGCTACGTGCTGTTTACTGTTAGATTTATTTGGTCACTTTCACCTTTCTACAAAATAATATATAAGACGTATGTTACAAGTGTATTGCAGGGCCCCACTCAGAAAGAATACCTATCGGTGCAACATTGTTGTATGATGTTGCTTTTAGTGTATTTTCTTTTTTGCGATCCGAGGGAAGGCTTTTTACATTTCTCTCAGCTTCACAACTCCTCTTGCAAACTGTGCTCTGTGTAATATTTATCATAATGTTTTAGACAGTACTCAGGCATTTTAATTATGAAGGCCCATAAATAATGTTTCAGACGGAGACATGTTTGCTCTTTCTAAAAATGTCGGAGCACAGTCTGTTCCAGAGGCTGACGTGAAAAAATATCAAAACAATGAATGAGGAGAGGGGCTATTCACAGGTCAAATAAATGCAAAGTGAAAGATTTGCATATATTTTTCCTTTTTGTATTAGCTTAACTGGCACAAGGCTTTTTGTTAGGAGGATTAGAGAGTCCATATCAACCTATCTGAAGTGGAAGAATCAACAGGAGGTCATACCGAGTGATTTCCTCCTTGAGAGCAGCAGGCTCAGGAGGGTAGAACTTGACTCTCAGACACATGGTGAAAGGAGGCTGAGCTGCAGGGAACAAACGCAGAACAATTAAGGGATGGACAGGAATCCTTTCATTGTAAGAGATCAAACAATTAACAGAAGATCGAGGGGAAAGACAGCAGAAGTGTTCAGAGACTTCAATGAAGGTGAATTAGAGGATTAAAAAGACTGCAGACCATTTGCTGTTCTGTGTCAGTAATTATTGATGGACTTCCACTGTACTATCTTATGCAGGCATAAGATAAGGAGGTCTAATGTGAAGTCTTCAATGCTAACAGTAAACATTCAAATATTGTAGTGTAAAAAACAAGAAAGTTGCACATATGATGAATATTCTAAATATTGCAAATGCTACATTATTCAGGTGCTTTACTGAAAACATAGAACAGTGTGACAGACAGTTGAAGATCTGCATACAAAATTAAAAGTGTGGAGGTATTAACAGAAAAATGTGCTTACAGTATTTAAAAGTTCAAATACTGCAGACAAATGGCCCCTGTGAGTGCTTTTATGTCATGTGATACATATTTCATTGTTAGCATTTGATATTGTAGTAAACTTATCCTCCTCATGTTTTAGGTGTGACTCATTCAAGCTATAAAAACATCTGTAAACTGACAGGAGTTTAAAAAACTAAATAGCTGCCTCTAAAAATAAAAGGTATAAAGCTGAGTTCAAATAAAATATCAGTAACTTAAAGTTACAATTCAAACCATCTGGCCACTGTAACATTTGCAAAACACATTTGACCTTTTAATTGCGTTAATAGCTTAAATTATTGATCAATCATCAGTGATGTATGATTTGGATATAATACTACATATTATTTACTCATAAACGTCAGTGCAGACGTTGTTCTGAGGAAACATAAAAATCAAAATACTTACATTTCATTTGCTTTGCGATTGACTTTGTGACTTCCAACCAGTGCTGCATTAGAAAAAGAAAAAGTGATAAGTCACACAAAAACCTTGTTACAGTAACATGTCATCACTCAGCTGACACTTTCAATACCAGTTACCAAAGTGTTCAGTTGTTACTATTGACAGTTTTCTTAGGAAACCTGCTGTTACAACAGCATCACTTAAGCAGTATGAGTTTATTTAAAACACCTGAGAGTAGGTCCCCCGGATTAGACAATGATCTCCTCCTGCTGGTGACAGATACACATGCTCTGTGTGTCAAAGGCCTGATTCATATTCCTCATTCCCAACATTGGGAGCATTTGTTTCTCTCCATATTTCCCAGATTCCCTTCTAACCAGCTCCACCCACCCACAGCAACAACCACCAAAATAGTCCTGAGTGACAGCATAGGAAATGCAGCATCAGCAGGTCTGGGCTCTTGTCTGCGAGGACTACATCATGATCTGTGAACATGTGAATACTTCATGAATCAAGCAGTGCTACAACATGCCTCCCTGCAGAAGAGCCTGATGGAACAACCGAGCTGACTGAAGGGCAGCGTGAATAAGAGAAACTGAAGAACACAACTTTTCACTCTGGCCCCACAGTCGTACTATTATGCCTCCAACTCAATCGAATCCAATCAATATTTAAGTATAGCCACACATCACAGCCATGTGAGTATGAAGTCATTGTAAAATGTTTTGGGAAATGCTTCTCTAACCATTAGAGCTGAGGCTTAGCAGAGAAGATTGATGCCACCCTCATGTCTGTGTGTCAAATTAGTAATTGATTAACACGCCGGTAATGCATCAAGTTGTTTGATCCATACACAAAGAGAAATGTAAAGGCGAGGGGGTTATTATGTTATATTATGCTAGGCTAACCACATCCAGACTCCAGCTACTTTCTACATGCACAGGCACGACAGTGGAGTAAAGATGTTTTCATTTCCTATCGTCAAGAAAGTGAAAGAGGGAATACAGTATATCACAGCACTGGTTAATTTAACAACCTTTACACCAAACCGCAGAGAATAAAAGTGAGCGTCATACTGCGATAATTATGTTATAATTGAACAAATGCAACTGACTTAAAAAAGAATAATAATAATACATTAATTGAAAAAAGTAGGTAACAGCAGTGATTTCCCTGTTTCCACCAAGCGGTCCAGTTCAGTCCAGTTCGGTACGGTACACATTTATTGGCGTTTCCACAATCAAAAGTTGGGAAGGGTACCAAAATAACTGGTCCGTACCGTCCTACTTCTTTGGTACCATTCTGTTGTGGTGCCGAGCGCACCGATCCGACCTTAAAGGTTGGAGTTAAGAGACGCTGCAGTACGTTGATTGGTCTAAAGAATCTTTACTTCCCGTGCGACAGCTGTAATAAAGGACAAACACAAATCGCTGCATGTTTAAATATCCTGTGGATTTGGAAAGAGTCATTTTAAGGCTGTTTTTTTTTTTTTTTTACGACTTATGTCAGCGCAACCTCGGAGATGCAGACCTTCCTTGTTCACTGAGTCACGTTCTTCTTCTTTGTTGAATTTATTGGCTGTCTACACTATGTTGCGCAGCTGTGATTCTGTGATGTGTAAGGGTTTACTGACCAAACCGTAGCAAACTGTACTGAACCGAGCCTTACCGCTTGGTGGAAACACATTCTTTAGAAACATATATTAAGAAAGTGACAATACATGCTCAAAGGCCTGCACACAAGATCTCCTGTCATAGTGTCACACACACACACACACACACACTTACCCGCTGCTTGTCTGGATCAACATATCTGATGCCAAAATAGTCTTTCTCCAGCAAGTTGAGGTGATGGCAGATGAGGTCAAACAGATACTGTCCCTTTGCATCCCGCTGTAAGAGAAAAGAAGAAAACTCACATTTAGCCAGCATGCCCACGACAACAACTCAATTGAACATGTTTTCAAAAAAAATAATTCAACAAAGAAAAGGCGCCGTCCTGAATGAGAACAATTCCTGCGAGCAGAATGTGCTTTAGATTTCTTTTGAACCATGCCAGAGACGTCTCAGATCCATCCAATATTAATACACAACCATCTGAGGTGTCAGGAATAAACCCCATCCGCAGCTAAAGAGGAGCTTAAAGAGAGGATGAATTAAATATTCTGAGATCTCACGGGAGGTTTGGATAATACTCTTCATTGGACCAGACATCATGATGAAGCCTCCCTTAGAGAAACACTAGTGTATATACTTCACAACAGTGTATCTGCATAACCCCCCTGAGCATTCAGGCTCAAAGCAGAACATTTGGATCAGACTGGAACTGATTTCCTTGTCGAGAGCCAACAGTAGCACATAATAGTGTTAGAAACGCCCCAAAGCGAAGGAAACACCTCTCAAAAGATGACAGGACGGAAACATATTTAGTGCTGCTTTTAAACGTAATTTTTTGCCTTTCCCCTCTGGAGTTTTAAAAACCTATGAGGGAAGCAGATATAGAGTAAATACATTTAGAGCACATCTGTGCAGCAAGCCTGGTAGAGTATGTGACAATCGTTTGACTCATCAGGTGCCACACTGTGCAAATGAACGTCAGTCACAACAAAGATCAAGGGGGGAAGTAACACAATTCAAATGTTTTTTTTTATTTAAAGAAAAACTGCTTTCTCAAACCTTTGAAATCGAGCATGTATCAGAGCATATTTCTAAAAGACTGAGGTAAAAAAAAAAGGTGGGCGAGATGAATCAGTATCAGGAAGACGGCAAGCATCAAACCCGAGGACCACTCCAGGGTTGTTAACGTCTCCCACCATACCAGGGAAACATCATGCCCTCGAGTAACATCACAGATTAGTCTCAGTTGGGGATTTTATGCAGGAGTGCCTTCAATGGGTCAGTCAGCGCTCACAAACGCCCATGATGAGTCACTCTGTTAATGGGCATTTGGAGAAAACTGTCACAGTGAACGGAAATAAGTTTTTAAAGAGTATAAGCTACTCCTCTTGAAAACTTTATGCAAGTTAAATGTAGTTGTTGTGTGTTCCTGATTATCTTAAAGCTGAGCTGATTCATATTTGACACATATACCAGGGGTCAAATGATTATGTGTTGTGATTTGATGCCTGTAAGAAACATTTAAGTATCTTTAAAGTGAATTGTCTTCATATTTCTGGCATGCAACTGCAGTTTTGGTTTACTTGAGTGGCTCTTGTCAACCTTTATCCATGCTCAACCGTCAGTTTTCTGCAACAACAAAAAAAAAGCCCCTCAAACGTCAATGTGGGCTCCCCACCAAAATGGCATAGTAAGAAATTCAGTGACCAGCATGGGGCATTTCCTTATTGATAAGTTAGACACTCAAACAAAGCTAAAAGGAGTATGAATCTGCTAGATGAACGATGTGTGTATTTTACGTGTTCAATACAAAAAAAAGACTTTGCAGAAAAAATAAGACTTGTAATTGACAGAACGGTTTCTGTTTGTGAAGTTGATGTTCCTGACGGAGGAGGGAGGGGTGAGGGGGAAACTGGTATTGTAATGATGCAGATTTTTTAGACCAGACTGCGGTACTCAGATGAGGAGCAGGAAAATGATATCATAAATACTGTCGGCCGATCAGAGAAACGATGTGATCTGTGACAAAAAAGCCTGTGATTTGTGATCCATGCACCTGTTATTGAAACAGCATCTTTCCAACACAATGGTGTAAAATAAGTGCAGAATGAGCAGCCAATACAATTAATCAATTAATAATTTTCTAAAAAATCTAAGATATAAATCACCCGGCAGAGCCATATTCATGTCTATGTCTAACTAATCTCACTAGATTTGTGATGAGCAGTCATTCTCATCATATAGCATGAAGAGGTCAGCTTAGGTCAAGGTTGGACGACATGCCCCTCCTTCTTCCACTCTCTGTTTGTTTTCCCTGTGGCAGGAGGTAAAAGTGTCACTGCGGTTCTGTTCTCCCTGTCATTCCTCAAGCCTGCAGATAACAGGCACTTCATTAGGACAGAAGCCTGTCGATGCTGATCCTGTCCTTTTAACTCGCAGTGGCTCTCTGGGAACAAATGCTGATAGGAGCTCAGATCCGAAAAGGAATCTGGCCTTTCTCTAGCTAGCCCCCGACGGGCGGTATGGGTCTCGCCACTGTCACTTCCAGATCATTCCCTCCCTGTTACATCACTAACCAATGTGACATCCCTGCTCACTTATAGGGACTTGATAAAGTGAAGAAAATGAGGAAGGAAGGACATTTTTGGTGTGCTCTGGCACATAAGCCCATGTTCATGCTTTGGTCAAGGATCACAGATGCATGAATAAAAAAGTACATTACAACACAATAACAAAAGACATAGCATGTGTGGAGATTTAAAAATGGATGTTTTAATAAGGATGTGTTAATCTCGGCATTCAAAGCTCTGTATTAGCCTGGTGTTTAGCTGTAAATATCTAACTTCCTCTTTAAAAAAGCCCTGTGTCAAAGAGTCAATCATGAGGATATTGTTCAGGAATAATCGTTAAAAAGTTTTTCAATCATACATAAAGTAATTCTCTTTAAAGATTAGAACACGTAACACACAAACAGGACAATGTAGGCTAAAAGTAGTATATGTTAAAGGTGTAAAGCATGTTCCTCTACGTAGATTTGTCTTTGTCTGAGAACCTCTGAGAGCCAAGGGGAGAGACAAAGACAACCAAAAAAAAACGGTTCTGTATGGAGAGGACACAGTGAGTCAGGAAAGACATCTGCTCTTTTGTGGCGTGGAAAGAGCAAGTTTGTTAGTATTCAACAGAACACCAATCTACCTCCCACCCTCCCCCCCTCCCTTTTCTGGATCCCCAGTGCCCCCCCCCACCTTTGTCTCTGCTCCCTACAAACACAGCTGCATTATCCACCTCCAGTCTCTGTCTAATTACCAGATTTAGGTGAAAGCTGCAAAAAAAAAAAAAAGATTTCCAGAACATTTTCCTCGACTTGATTGGCATCTCAATGAGGCCCAACATGAACCAATTGAAGAACAAATGCATTGGTTTGAAACTTGTTTTCAAACATCCTAAATGCATGATTTAGCTCAAGTCAAATCCAATAACAAGCCACATTTCTCCTTGATCCAAAGAAATATTGTAATAATCTCAGAAAGCATTAAATCATACCCGAGCATCCTGCATGTGAGGTATTCACAAAAAGAGTTATAAAAATATGAAATGCACATGATCAATACATCAAGCCTTAAACAAGAAAGTGAAAGCTCAGGTTAGTCCTTAAAATCAAGAATTCTCAAAGCAAGCTTGAGTTAGATGAGTTTGGTTTTTCTAGAAACTAATAAAGCATCATTAAGATCATTATTACTATTTTTCTAGAAACCCATCTTTTCTACAACTTAAACGATTCAGTGTTTTTAATTGATTAGACAATAAACAGAAAATTGGTAACTACTCAGATCATATTTTTTTTTGCAAAGGAGCCTTTCTTCTTTCTCCTCTTCCAGTATCTTCAGTGTGATGATTTACTGCTTTTCTCTTTATCAGGACAAAGTAAACTGAATTTCATTTGGATTTTTTTTCAACATGTAACATTAAAAAATACCACAAAGGCACTCTGAGACAAATTTGTCACTGTTTTTTTAAATGTCCATATTAATGTTTGATCTAGCAGAGGACCAAAAGTTGAATCAATAATGAAAACCATTTGGTTAAATTCACAAATTTGTATGAAATAATCATATTGTTGTTTAATCCCACTGTATGCTTATTGGGACCAACAACATCCAGCAACTATATTATCAACAATATCATATTTGACATGATTATTTAGGTTGGTTATCAATAAAAACAAATGTATGTGGAGTGGAGAGGGCTTAATGCAGTCACCATATTGGTTGAATATTTTTAATCAAGAAACATTTTTGCATTTTATTTCATTTTCAAACAGTTTCTGACAACTACTGTCCAAATATTTTTGGAGATGGCTCAAAAAACAATTAGAAAGATCAACATAGCAGTCCTGTAACGCGTGAGCCAGGGGCCTCAGTATACAATGGACACTTTCAGATTAATCATTAAAATGGTCTCCATGTCACCCCAGGAGCACAGACCATTAATAAAAGATTGAATCACTTTATAGAGAGAGGAGTTAGAACATGATGCCATTGACTGCATGTTTGTGTGTGTGTGTGTGTGTGTGTGTGTGTAGTGTGTAAGGCCAAAGGTACATAGAAGAGCCCTGAGGTGATTTCTTTGGCTTCATAAGTAGATTGCTTTCTTTTGTCTCAGGAGGATGAGCGATTCTATTGGTTAATAAGTCAGAGCGATTCAGACTCCTGACCCAGCTGTGTGTGGAGTTCAAGTCGTGACCCTGCTCGGGAGCAACGGACAACAACTCACAGTCGATAGGAAGCTCACTTCACAGCACATCATCAAATCACGCCTGTTCTTTTAAACAAGCAAAAAGGCCTCTCGGCTGGTTCTTAGAATACATCTCACACCGTAACAATAAAATGAGGCATGTCATTGTGCTATCAGTGCAAAAGAGGCAGCGATCTTAACGACTTTGTGAGTGCAAATACGTTAAAAAATGCAATTAAACTAAATGCTCATCTCCCTAAGGTGTGGGACAAATTGATCAGCATGTGGTTGGACATTTGTAGCTCCAAGGCGGTTCTTAAACAGGGTTGTTAAAGGAAACGCAAGCCTCAGCAGAAGACGGAGACACGGAACATGTAACAGATTGTGACAGAAATTGTGAAGAGTGACAAAAATGCTTCATCGTTAATAAATATAATCATCACTCATGATTCAGGACGACATCGACAAAACGATTATCACGTTGGAGATACGCCCGAGGAAACATAAAGTGTAAATTGTCACAAGGAAGTCGACCAGGAGCA